AATAGGGGACCTTTAAATGTTCTTGCACCATGGTGTCCATCACGTGACCATCCTCATGGTGACGCAGCCTCTGAGGGGCACCGGGCAGGGGATGGCGTCCTCCACCTCGAGGCAGGTGTCTATGTACGGGTCCATCAGCATCATGTTGGGGAATGCTTTGTTGCTCTTCCTCTCGCTCAGCAGGTAAATCTGCCCGCTGACGGTGGTGCAGCCGCAGTAGAACTTCCTGTCCAGACACTCTTCATCCTGCACCGTCCACTCGTCCGTCTCCACATCAAAACGCAGCGCCTGGCCTCCAAACAGGTAGAGGGCCCCGTTGAGCTCTGTGGCGACCAGGTCATATCTGTCAGAGGGTTCAAATAAAGAAAAGTAAGGCTGAAAGGAGAAGCTATTTGGAAACAAAATACATATTAAGGAATACTGGTCTGTGTCAGGAAAGAGGGTTCCTATAGATTAAGACAAATTACATTTTTTTATATTTTTTAAATGCCCCTTTAAAGGTGGGGTAGGTAATTTTGGAGAAACCAGCTCGAGTGCGCTAGAATTTGAAAATACACAGCCGGAAAAAATCTGCCACTTCCTCACAGAGCCCCTCCTCCAACACACACGAACGCGCACATGACCAATGAGGGCACGAGATAAGTTTGTGCACAGATGGAAGGCTGACAGGCAGGTAGGCCATCCAGTTATTTTAGCCGGGCCGGCTCAGATGATTGGTCGTGCTTTTTACAGCGCCACGGCTTCCACAGACGAAATATTTGTATGGATTTTTAGTCAAAGCACTTAAGATATTCATTGCTATCGGGATATTAAGAGCATTCCATGGAATACAACAAAAAGTGTATCTCGAGCCGGTTTCTCAAACTTACCTACCCCACCTTTAAATTTAGGACTATATCCAAAAACAGATCCATTACTTATCGGCATAAGGAGGATTTTTCTCATTGGTTTGTGTTAATGTAAAATATGTGTTTTGGTGCAGTACAAATGTTGAACTAGTGTGTAACATAACACAAATGTATATAATATATGAGTTTTATCCAGATCTGCATGAAACTATTGCAAGATTTGGTTCTTTCATTAAACCATTTGGTTAGTTATTATATATTTTCAATACTTTTAAGATTTAAAACGCATTGTGAGAAAAATAAGATTTATAAAATCCTACTTCCCATGTGTGAGCATTTGTGAGACTTTTAAGATAAGATAAAACAAACTTTATTAAGGAAACAATTAAAGGGGAATTCAGGTGTCAGAACGGAAACAAAAATGTGTGTAACAGTATGAGTAATAATAACAAGACTAGGGTAAGGAGTTGCTGAGTTGTGTTTTGAGTCTAAAGTACAGTACTTATTGTTATAGTTGTATGTAGAGATGAAGCCTTGGTTATGACATGGATTCAATCATTTTAATACTTATTTTTCAGATGAATTCAATACCTTTCAAGACTTTTAAGATCCCAGAAAACGCCAGAAATCAAAACTAAAGAGAAACACTTCACCCACCGTGGAAATGGAGAGTATGAGACCACGTCCCACTGGTCCTCCTTCACCCTGTACCTCTGAACCCCCGCGTACACCTCCCCGTTCTCATCCAGTCCGCACGCCACGTAGATGCAGGAGTCCAGAGCCACAGAGGCGGCCCTCTCCACGGCTCTCACCATCGGGCTGACCTCCTCCCACTCCTCTGACCCCAGAACCAGCCTCTCCACGTCCCCCAGCAGCCCCTCGTCCACGCTGCCCCCCAGCACGTACAGCACAGAGTCCAGACCCGCGGAACAGTGGCTGTGCCGGGCCGTCTGCATGGCGGGACCCTCCACCCAGACCTGGTTCCCACAGTCAAACATCCGGACCCAGTCCACGCAGAACCACAGGACGTCCCGGAAGTGTCCGCCTGTCACCACCACATTGTCTCCTACATCGTGAGAGAATCAGAACAAAATTAAGAAGTGTTGTATTAGGAAAATGATGTTTAATGTCCAATAAGTAGGATTTGGTATAGGTCATTACTTATTTTGATGATGTATTATTCAAATGTCAGAATCAGAATCAGGTTTATTACCAGGTAGGTTGACACGTACGAGGAATTTGACTTGATGTCATGGTGCATATACATAAAGTAAAACAACAATTAAAAACACAGATAGAGAACTATAAAAATATTTAAAATAATACAAAATATAGTAAAAATAAAATTGAATAAAATATGGAATATATAACGAGATAGCATGTTTTCTGTTGAATCAATAACCTATATCAAATAATCACATGCTCTACTCTGTTGATCAGTAAGTGGTAATGTACATTTGTGGTAGAAACATTAATGCCATTTAGAGATAATTAGCATATACAGTATCCTCACAAGGCTTTATTATGGTATGTAACTGAGACAACAGCACAGGGCATTCGGCCTTTCATGTAAGAACAAAGACAGAACATGGAAATACATACATGTACACATAGCACATAAGAGAAATACACATTCAGCCCCTCACCCATCATCAGTTTCACAGGGACCCTCATCTTCATCACTATCATTCACATACCTACTGCAGCTACTGAGTACTGTGTGAGGTTCTTCCTCTGCAGGGGGGGGCAGCTCTGCCACCGGCCACTGAGCGGGTGGAACTGATAGAGCGGCTGCTGCTCCGTATCGTGGGGTCCGCCCAGAACAAAGAGGGTCTCTCTGGCCCTGGCCCTCGTCATCGACCTGCCCATGGACCAGGACTCTGGGAAATGTTCATTCAGCATGCAGATGAGCTCGGCTCTGGGGTCGTTGCTCGTCATTTTCACTAAAAGTTGAGTAATGAACGGTAAAGAGAGCGACTCCGGCCTCACTAACTGAATCAGCTCCAGGAAATGTTCCTGTCTTTTGGGGTCAAACGACACCCAGCGTAGGGTGGCCTCCAGGGCTGCATCATCTGTATGGATGGCAAGGTCATCGCAAGCAATAAGGTCTGCTACGGACTCCTTAGACAGGGACAGGAAGTCCTCTTCTGAGGTGATAGCAGAGAAGTGTGTGAGCGCCACATTGCGAGCAGCGTTGTGGAGCTGAGTGCAGCCCAGGCTCCAGGCGTAGCTCATCATCCCCAGACAGTTACTGAGGTGCAGCTCGCGCTCCAGGAACTTGCAGCACAGCAGCCTGGCTCGCTCCAGTTGTAAAAAGTCTGCCGTCTCAAGGATCCCCAGAACATTCTCCCTGTCCAAAACTAGTTTGGAAGTCTTGCTGTAGTCCATTAAAACCCTGAAATGCTTCACACTCACACATTTAATCTCTATTCTCCTTTTGCTGCTCTCTAGGCCCCCGCCAAAAAACAGAGCCCTGAAGTAAGGACTCTGGAGGGCGAGTCTTTGACGGTTCACATAGAAACTCTCTCCTTCTACCTGCAGAACTGCGTCAGGGATCACTTCAGGCACAGAGTTAGTCACATGTAGAGCAGATTCGTCCTCCTTAAGTTTGTCTATCTGTTCAGAGAGAAGTGTGAATTTAAAGCTCTGAGGTTTCAGCTCAGGCTCGGCTCTGCCGGCCATGTCAAAGCCACACCGAGGGTCTTCTGCACAGAGCCTCGTCTAGTTTACAACACACACCAACTGGTGGTATTAATAGATCTCCCTCTGACAGACTGCTGACAAATGCAACCAGGAAAAGGAGGTCAGTTTGAAAAACACATGCTAGAAATGGTCAAATGTAGAGTATTCCAATTCATTCAATATTGTCTTTATATTATTTAGATACTCAAGTGCAGGGGGGTCAAACTCAAATACACATTGGGTCAAAATAAAAAAAATGTGTACTAGTCGAGGGCCGGACTGGTTCAATGTTTATTGCAGAACTTATTGAAATGAACTTATTGCACATATTAAACCTGGAACTAACACAGCTTAAATTATTGCCTATAAAAACAACATTAAACATTAAATAATCAGTTGCATTCATTTCTTATGGCTCTATCTGCAGCTTCTCCAGAGTCATTTCTTATGATTACATTTTCCCACAGGCCAACAACAGCTTCAACAAAACTATTTCCCTCAAAGAGAAAACCAAACATGCCCTGTTGTCCTGAGAGAAAGTGCAGAAGGAAACATCCATTAAACTCAGTGTGCTGCTCTGTGATGCTAGTTCAGATACTTGGCATCTCATCTTGGGTGCAAGTTCATCAATGTTTGGGCTCAGGCTCTGAGCTGAGGAGACCCTCAGGATGGAGTGAAGGTGTGCGTGCAATATACCGGCGGGCCAGATCTAATAGGAATTTAAAATTATCCTGCGGGCCGAAATTAAATCCACCAAGGGCCTGATTTGGCCCCCGGGCCTTGAGTTTGACACATGTGCTCTCGTGATATACGTCTTTTGTTTACCTTCTATCCATATATCCATCTAGCTATCTATCTATCTAATTTAGATAGCTTAATGTAAATTCATTGATGAATAAATTCCAATAATTTGCCCCTTGTTTACAAAATATTAAGAAACTGATGTCAGCTGAGGTGTTCATCACTTTGATTGGTGAAAAAATGTTGGATTTTTTTTAAAACAATACAAAAAAATGCTAAATAACAAATTTTGAAAAACGATATTAGAAAAAAAAAGAAAATCCAAATAAAAAAATCCAAAACATGATAAAAAATATATTTTTTAAATCAAGAGAAACCTCCAAGCTACGGTCCCTAATCATTGGGGCTGCTGAGCTGGCTAGCCTTACAATGTTGAACAAAATAATTTTCTAAAAACACAACAAAATGAATAAATAATAATAATATTTTTCTTTAAAAATAATAACATTAAAAAGTGAAATCAACCAAAAGGAGTAGGGGGACGAACCCCCTAGAATCTCTCTGGGGAAAAACATATCTAAAAAAAAATAAGGAGGAAACGTATCTGCTAAGATTAAGAAATATGATACATTGGGTCAGGGAGACTTCTATATTATTGAAGAGTTCATAAGATAATTTCTATTTTTGCGGGGGTACATCATTCTGGTCCATCCTCCAGTACAGCAGGTGGCGATAATGCGCCTTTAACGCTGGTTGCCGTCCACAATAAAAACCATAGAAGAAGAAGAGAAACATGGCGGTGAGTTCGTGTTTTGTTAGCTTTCATTCCAACTTAACTTCACCTTTCTATCTTTACACATTATAATGAGCATATTAAGACAGCAATTGTTTATGATGAACATGACCTGTAATGTGGATGAAATACTCGACAGTTGGGGGGCGTTTTTGTCGCATTTGCTAACTTGGCTAGCCGAGTAAAGCTAACATGTGACTTAAAAACACATTGTATCTGTTTCTTTTGCAGGATAAAGAAAAGAAGAAGAAGGAGAGCATCTTCGACTTGTCAAAATACATCGACAAGCCGATCCGTGTTAAGTTCCAAGGAGGACGAGAGGGTAAGAGCATTAATACTGGTGATGAAGAGCTAATGCTAACACAATCAGCCGGTGCAAACATTAGCTTCATGATTGGGATTTGTTTCTCTCTTAAACAGAGGTGTAAAGTAACTAAGTACATTAACTCAAGTATTGTACTTATACTTTTGAGATACTTGTGCTTTACTTGAGTGTTTCCATTGTATGCTACTTTGTACTTCTACTCCACTTCAATTCTGAGGTAAATGGTGTACTTTTACTCCACTACATGTATTTGTATTAGTTACTTCACAGATGTGGATGAATGATGTGAAATATAATCAAGTGTTAAATCAGACTTTAGTTCCACCTGGAGTAAATCCACCAGCTACCCTGCAGTATACAAAGCCATTCAAACTAGCTGCACCTTTACCAGCTTTGAGAACACTTTCATGATCAATCATTATAAAACATATCATATATATTATTCTGAAATGGACCAATCTGCACAGTGACTACTTTTAAGAATATTTTGATGCCGATACTTTTGTACTTTTAGTTGAGTAACATTTTGAATGCAGGACTTTTACTTTTAACAGAGTATTCCTACACTCTGGTACTTCTACACCTCAAGTCTTTTAATTGATCCTGACTAATGTGAACTCTACTCTGTGTTTCCTCTCAGCCAGCGGTGTTCTGAAAGGATTCGACCCTCTGTTGAACCTGGTGCTGGACGGCACAATCGAGTACATGCGTGGTAAGTTACAAACTGTGCAGGAAATGTATACTTTTTATTCTTTTCAGTTACTTTTATTTTGAATGCTTACCGTGTCAATTGGTGATCACATGTTAGCTGTCTTAAATAGGGTACACTTTCCAAAAATAACGTGTGTACTTAAGTTATTCCTTACATCTGAAGTTAAATGATAATATGTGTGTACATACAGATCCAGACGACCAGCTGAAGCTGACAGAAGACACCCGGCAGCTGGGGCTGGTGGTCTGCAGAGGAACCTCCGTCGTGCTCATCTGTCCTCAGGACGGCATGGAGTCCATTCCCAACCCCTTCGTACAGCAGCAGGACGGCTAACACATGCACACACTTCACATTACACACACACTTCACATTACACACACACACTTGAACATCTGGTGGAGTTTTTGTTTGAATTGTTTCTAAACATAACTGTAATAATGCGTCCGATAAAGTAATTTTCTGTTGAGAATCATTTTAAGTTGATCAGCGAATGGGCACTTGAAAGCACTTCACTGTTTGTCCGCTCCGTGGTGTGCACGTTTTTGCGGAGATTTGAGTTAAGAGCCCACACTTTTGGGAATACCATTTTTCTTTTCATTCACAATAAGAACCTTTTTACTATTCTTTGTTTTTTTTTGATAAAATAAAATGAAAAATGTTTGTTCAAGATGTTATTCCCTCTTGTTCTTGTACTCATTGGTTGTTTAGATGGAAAACTCGGATGTAGGAATCCAATTCCGTGATTTTTAAATGTGACCCAGAGCGCCATGAAAGTTGTAGTCAAAGCTGGTTTTAGTCGACTACAACAGAAAACGTTTCCGTCAACTTGTAGTCATTCAGAACAGCGCTGCTAGGATCCTGATGAGGGTGCGCAAATATGATCACATCACCCCCATCCTTAAAGCACTACACTGGCTCCCCGTGGAACTGAGGATCGAATTCAAGGTCTCCGTCCTCACCCACCAGTGTGTCCATGGAACTGCCCCTCCCTACCTCAAGGAACTCCTCACCTCCTTGCGGACCACCCGCTCCAGCAACTCCAACCTCCTCAGACCCCCCAGGACCAAGCTCCGTACTATGGGAGACCGGGCCTTCTGCTCGGCCGCTCCCAGTCTGTGGAACGCTCTACCCGACCACATGAGAGCACCACAGACCGTGGAAGCTTTTTAAAAAAAGGCCAAAACCCATCTGTTCAAACGAGCCTTTCCCTAGACCTTTTATTTATTACCACCCTTTTATTTTTTTTATTGCTTTTTATTCATTCCACCGTGTTTTATACTGTTCATGCTCACTGCTTGTAGCACTTTGGGATTTGAAGTCAAATATGAAGTGCTTTATAAATTAAACCTATTATTATTAATAGTCAAGATATATAATCTTTATTTCCTCTGCTATTTTTTAAATAGTCTTAGACCGATGTAAAATATCCTTTTATATTTAAAATTGCGATCTGGTCTTGTCAAGGCAATAATTTGGTCATTTTAGTCAAACGTATTCCACATACATTGAACCATGTCTGATGGAATAACACAGGTTGAACGATAAACAATGCAGCCTGCCTCCCGCTTAAAAAACAATGATGCGTTTCAGGAATGCTAAAGTGTGTTTCTGAGAGATAAAGGGCGAGGGCCAGAGGAAGTGTAGGGGGACCAAAAAGTGGTTTTGAATCTACGATACAATAACCAGGGTTCTTACCGTCATTAAAAACCTGGAAAAGTCATGGAAATTCTAAATGCTAATTCCAGGCGCTGGAAAAGTCATGGAAAACAATATTTTTCCCAAAGTTTTGGGAAAGTCATGGAAATGTAACTAAAGTTGCATCAAATATAATTTATATTTTATCTAATCGCCTAAATAGTAATACTATAATGATAATAAATACTGTATCGTTTAGTAATGAAACGTAAAATGGCATTTAACTGACGAGGTATTTTGCTGGTGAGAGATTTCAGTTGCTTTAGCCTGTAGAAGCTAGTAAGCCTATTTGATTGGTTTTAGATAGGACCAACATGTTTCATATGCAGACCTTATTTTCCTGTTCCATGTTCAAATAAACCATTTTCAGTGGAACCGCTGAGAAAGAGTCGTTTTTTTGGTCATGGAAAATTAGGTAAAGGTCATGGAGAAGTCATTGAAAATCATTGGTGAAAAAGTGTATGAACCCTGAATAACAATATTGTTGATTTTGTCAAAGTCTGTAATGGTATCGGTGTCATCTCCTCATCAACACTTCCAGATCACACAATGTTGATGAAAGCTAAAACACTTGTTTGCCCTGTGGTTCAGGTCTGCACAGAAACTAATGAATATTTGCTTTGCTCATTATTCCACCAAGTTTATTGAGGCTGGTAGTTTAAACTAATCTTGCAAAATGTCACCTAATTTGTGGAGGTAAATATTAAAACAATTCACCTTGAGTTGGCTGCTGAAAATGTACACATGCAGGCAGCCCTTTAATAATCACACTAACCAGTAGATCACGTCATACTAGCACTGGCCAACTATTGCAGACCAGTCCAGGGACTTCTTTAACATGTAATGGTATTCTGTGGACAATCCACCTGATTGGCTGGAGCTCGTCCACTTTTTCAGAAGAACAGAAGTGTTTGCTTGCGACTTTAAAGTGTGTCAATGGATAAAGGTAGTGTGTGTGAAAGAAATCCACTGAAGCCTTCGCACACTGATGGAGAGATGTGTAGTTATAACTACTGTCAACTTAGTTGGTTTTTACAGGAGGGGACACACGAGGGATTATATGATAGCTGCTGCTTTGCTCTCTATTTTTATATCATTATAGTATTGGGAATTTAAAAAGAAATGGACGAAGTATGACATATATGACCTAGGAATTATTTAATGTATTTTAAATGATTTTATTGTATTACTACATGTTCTCTTAGTGCTCCATACCATGGGATCATGGAGGGACGAAAATAAATTATATGAAAATTAAAATAATAATATACTTTGGAAAATTACCAATAAAAGCAGCTAAATCTCTAGGTAGGCTATATGTTTTCATATAAATATATAGTGGAATAAATATATACATATACAATTGTACTTAAGTATAGTACTTGAGTAAATGTATTCAATTAATGGCCAGCAAGCCTTTCTCTTACCTCACTTCCTCTCACTTTTACTTAAGTGGAGAAGTGTAATACATTTGCAGTAATGGCAGATTAGAGGGACTGTGATCCACGTAAAAGGACCCGGATGTGGTGCCAGGTGTTGTGCAGAATTCCGGCAGGCTTCGCCCCTCCTCTGTGACCACGCACTGTGGATCTGGATCACAGGCAGGCTGCAGACACTCAGGACATGTTGCATGCTCCTTAACTTTCCTCCGTCTTTTTACAACGTTGCGTTAAAAGGGAGTAACCCATGTTTGTTGTTTACTTGGAGATTATGGCAGAGCTTGTGAGGTGACAGGAGTCAGGAGAAAATGCCTGAGCACACCGGGGTGTAACCGAAGGGGATCAGGCCCGAGGATGGGAGGAGGGTCGGCCGGGGATTTGTGAAGCCGAGCCGACCTGCTAAAGTAAACTGCGGACGGGGATCCACCTGCGGCACGCCCCCGGGCAGCTGGAACAAATAGCGGACCTCTGTCCTCCATCCAGGTCATCTGCTCCTGTGTCACACAACACTGTGGGAGACCGTGGATGTGTCCGGAGAGAAGAAAGAGGTGAGTGAGTTTACCTGCGGACATAAAGCCTTTATTGTTTAATGCTCCACGCTGGGATGCACCTGGAGCGACAACCGTGCGTAATTCACTGGTGCGGGGAATATTCTCCCTGAGTCGAGTGATTCCTTTAGTATTCTTTTATCTGCAGACTTTAAGGGGAAGGTAACTACTGTGGTTTTAGTGTGGCGCTTCTCCATATCTAATGTGAGTTCGCCAGGCAGCAACATGGCTTCCGTGGTCTCTTTTACGCACAACCTCAGCCAGCTCCACGGAACACAATCACTGCTAAATGTTTTTGTGTATTTATTCCTCACGACTTTATAATCATTATCCCGGTATTTTGTCAAATGTGCATCTTGATCTGAAATAAGCAACGTCTGACCAGTAAGCTACATTTCAATTGTTTTGGTTGTATGAATACTGGGACTGTATTTATTACACTTTGGAAACACCCTAAGCATCATTGTAGAATTCTAAATATATTTCAGTATTTATTGACTTTGTGAGAAGATGAACCAACTATGTTATTTAAGTGTTGTTTGTTTTAATGCAATGCAGTGGAACACAATACATAATTCATAGTGTAATGCATTACAAATCACAAATGGTCCTTTATATCATATGCATTCTGTATACTGTTGTATATCCACATCGTTCCTCTAGTCTAAAATGCCTAATTTTACGGCATTTCCAGTCTCCAATAGTATCACTGTGTCTCTGCAGTGGAAAATAATACATAATTCATAGGCAAGGCAAGGCAAGGCAAGGCAAGGCAAGGCATCTGCTCTGATTGGTTAGCTGGCCGGCTCTGTTGTGATTGGTCCACAAGAATGTAACTTTGGTTTGAGAAGTGGGGGGGACACAAAACAAGGGGTCCTTGTATTTTTTACAACTATATTAAATAGATGGAAATATTTGTTTTTTCCATGTATTTTTTCTTTTAATGTTTATTTTATTAGCTTTTCTTTTTAATGACTGATTTTAAAAATGCCATTTTCTTAATGTCTTTCATTTTTTGTAAAGCACTTTGAATTGCCTTGTGTTGAAAAGTGCTATATAAATAAACTTGCCTTGCCTTGCCTTGCCTACATAGATGACCAAACCGTTTGAGACCCACTGAGATAACTTAGACTAAAGTTTACAACCTAATCACTCAGGAGTCCTTTACCTCACCTAAGCTGACGTTATCTCTCTCAGTCCGACAGGAGAGGACTCTCCCTCTCCTTATTGTTGAAACAGCTTCTAATCTCCGTTAGCTCCGAGCTAGCACCAGAGTCTAACAACAACCCCGTAACTGGTGTGCTCTCTCTCTCTCTCTCTCTCTCTCTCTCTCTCTCTCTCTCTCTCTCTCTCTCTCTCTCTCTCTCTCTCTCTCTCTCTCTCTTTCTTGCTCTCTCTTGCTCGCACACGATGACCGCTTGCGTAAAAAATAAATAATAAACATACTCTCTCTCAAACGGGATTTTGAAAAGTGGGGGGAACCCCCCTTGTCCCCAGTCGAAATTACGCCCATGGGTCCACAGTTTAGAGATGTCCCGCCCCTTAGCCTATCACGTATGTGTTGGTGCGCTAACCAATGGAAGCACGAGTGTTACATTGTGACGTCACTTTGTTCCAGAAGTAAACAAAGGAGTCCAATGGAGGCGTTCGTTGGAGCGAACACCGGGATTTTAGCCTTTGCAGACCATTTACCTGCACTAAAACCTATAAACATAGCAAGAAATCTGGGTGCAGTGATGGACTCAGACCTGAATTTTAACAGTCACATTTCAACAGTTATTAGGTCTGCATACTACCACCTGAAGAATATGCAGCTGATTCAGAACGCCGCTGCTCGAGTACTCACTGACACTAAGAAAGTGGATCACATCACTCCGGTTCTGAGATCATTACACCGGCTTCCAGTCTGCCAAAGAGTTGATTTTAAAATACTACTGCTAGTTTTTAAATCACTAAATGGCTTAGGACCGAGGTATATAGACGACCTCCTCCATCACTATGAAGCATCCAGGAGTCTCAGGTCTTCTGGGTCGGGTCTGCTCTCTGTTCCGAGAATAACCACTAAACATGGAAAAGCAGCTTTTAGTTATTATGCCCCAACAATTTGGAACAAACTGCCCAAATCGTGCACGTCCGCCGAAACACTTCCTATTTTCAAATCCCGACTAAAAACGCACCTATTTGCCGTTGCTTTTAATTGAGCTGCCCATACTCACACTACAGTATGCCTTTTTAGTCATGTGTTCTGTACCTGCTGTGTTTATTTATTTATTTGATTTCAATACCTTTGCTTATTATGCCTGTTTTTAAATGCCTTTTTAATAATGTATTTATGCTGTATTTCTTCTTAAATGTCTTTTGCTTTTCATCTGTAAAGCACTTTGAATCGCCACGTGCTGAAAAGTGCTGTATAAATCAAATTGCATTGCCTTGCCTATATAACACACTAAAGGAAAACCCCAAAAGCAGAATAGGGCCTCTTTAAGTAAAGGGTGTGTACTTCTTCTAACTCCCATATTGTAATATACATGTGTGTATTTGTATTGTGTGTGTTCTACCAGGACTGGATCATTTTGTGTGTCAGGCGTTATGAGGCAGGGTTCAGTGGTCAGAGAGTTGTGAGGTTGGTGTCGTGATTCCAACATGGAGGCGAAGAAGGATGCTTCCTCCAGCCCCGCCTGCTACAGGAGCACCGTCATCGCCTTCCTCCTCTTCTTCCTCCTCATCGGGGTGTTTGTAGGCCTGTTCATTGGTGAGTCGTTTGATCATAACCAGAGGTGGACACAGTATTCAGATTCACACTAAACCTGTCTATTCGGCACAAAATGTCTCAATCTGTAGGTTTGCTTTTTTCAATGAGGAAACCATTTTTATAGCAAATTCTCTTGCTTTGAGAATCACTAAATTAGACTTTTCTATGATAAGCTATTTCTAAACTTCAGAATTGTGTTTATTACCAAGTAAGTTTACGCATACGAGGAATTTGCTTTGGTGTAAATGGTGCATACAAAGACAGAAAGAAGAGTACAGCTACAGTACAGTACGTACAGTAAAATAGAAAATGACTATATCCAAAGGAGAGAGCTGTGCAGATTTAAAAAGAGATAGTTAATGGTAATTGTATGTGGGGGGGGGGGGGGGGGGGTCATAAGTCATATCTTACTTAATTTTATTTAAAAAGAAATTAAACTCTATTTTCATTTTTCTTAAACAACACATACAGTGTCAAAGACAAAAAAAAATTGGTGTGCAGGTTGTCCATTTTATTTAACAACAGATCAAACACAGACAATACAGGTAGACAAATACAGTCAATATGCAAAATTAAAGAAACTATTAAAAATCATTAAACATTACATGTCACTTGTTAGACGCTTTTATCCAAAGCGACTTACATACTCAATACTGTGGGTAATCCCCACAGGAGCAATTTGGGGTGAAGTGTCTTGCCCAGGGACACAACGACATACAGTGGGGTTTGAACCTGTGACCCCCTGATCCCAACACCAACACACAACCCACTGCACCACACGCCTCCATTAAAAACTGGCAAACGACCAACGACTTCAATTTTGGGATATACGAGCACTTACATCTACCAATGGTTTCTTGTTCTCTGTCCTTTAAGATGGACTTGAATATATATACTTGAATATACATATGGTTGAAATCACAGCTCAAAAAACTACACAAAACATAATATCTTACTTATGATGTGAAGGATTGATTATTTCCTCTTGCAGGCTACATGGTGCAGGAGCAGCATTCCTTCATGGAGACGGTGGAGCTGAAGGGTCTGAAGTACAACCAGTCTCTTCAGGAAAAGAACTCTGCGTTCTCCATCGTTCTGACCTCAGTCTTAAAGTCAAAGGTCAGTGCAACCTGTCACCTCGTCTAGAGCCCACGCGTGCATTTAAAACTGTTGTTAATCGTACTTTTTGACTTTCTTCCAGATTAAAAAGGTCTTCACTGCCTCGTCCATATCAAATCACTACGTCGATTCGAGTATTGTTGCCTATGGGTGAGTGAGAGCTTAACTATGGTAGAAAACATTAAAGTGGAAATAGTTTTTTGATTTAATGATGTATTAGTAGTTGTAGATTAATGACATCTACATTTCGAGGGCTTTCTGTCTGCTTCCGGGTCTCCCTTTAAGCTCAAGACGTAAACATACGTACGACACACTTATCCTACTACTTGATAAAACACCAGAAGAAATTAAACATAATTATTCTTACCTGTACCTCGTCATAAAAGAAGCAGTTATCAAACACATTACAAGAAATTGGTTAAAAGTTAATAACTTAATAAACTCGAAATGGAAAGGTTTTGTAAAATTAATGGAGATAGAAAATAAATAACCATGAAATTAGAATTAACGATGTATCCATTATTAGATTAGATTCAACTTTATGGTAAATGTATTGGAATAAGAAAATGTACTTAGCATCAGATCAGAAGTTAGCAAAAAGAAGCAGTGCATTGTAATGTATAGGTATAATGTACAAATATAAATATGACAGATATAAAAACTAAAAACTGCAGTATGAACTATCGATGGGTATAAAAACACTATGAACAGTATTTTGAAAACACAAGGTGGGTAGTAGTAGAAATGTATACAGTGTAAAAACGTCATACTTTGAATTATTGTTCAGTTTAGTTTCTCTTTTCTGATGTATTTTAGTTTTCACCGTGTTTCATTTTTTTTTCATGTATGCCCATATCATGTGATAAAAGGCTAATTGTTATCTGGTTAAACAAACAACTACGTCGGTGTCTCTGCAGCAGAGATGGCAAAAGTACACACATCCTTTACTCAAGTAGAAGTACAGATACTCGTGTTTAAAAATACTCTGGTAAAAGTAGAAGTACTGACTAAACTAAGGGGTAATCACAAGATGAGAAACAGCCGGGCAGGGGAGGAGAACCACAAGGGCCACAGGTGAACACAATCAGACAACTAGACACACCAGGGAAACTAACGACGGGAGGAAAAACACAGGAAAAAGGACCAGACAATATACACGGAGGAAAACACGACAGGGAGAACAGCAAAACACCCAAAACAAGACATACAAAACGTGACATAACACAATAATCGTAACAGAACCCCCCCCTCAAGGGACAGATTCCAGATGTCCCTAAAACACCAAAACAGTCCAATAAACGTCCAAAAAAACCAAAAAAAAAACAATGTCCAGCAGAGTGGGTGGAGGGGGTCCGGAGGACGGGTCTGGGCTGACAACCCAAGAGCACCGCGGAGGACCCGGAAGGGATCTCGGGCGGACGGCCCGGGGGCAAGGCAGAAGCCGAGAAGGGGGACTCGGGCGGACGGCCCGGGGGCAAGACAGAGTCCAAGGTGGGGGTTATGGAGGGGCGAAGGCCACCACGGGCGAACTCAGGGGGCCGAGCATGAGGGCGAGGGCCGCGGCCGGGAAAGTCAGGGGGCCGGGCTCGAGGGCGAAGGCCGTGGCTCTCAGGGGGCCGGGCTCAAGGGCGAAGACCAGCCAGCTCCGGAGGCCGGGCAGGAAGGCGCTGACGGGACAGCGCCGGAGGCCGGGCAGGATCCGGTGTCGGAGCTGGTGGGACAGGCCTCGGCAGGATCCCCCACGGAAGAGGACCAGGACACGGGATTGGCAGGACCCCCGGCAGGAGAGTAGTCGGCGGGGCCTCCAACGGCACAGGACAAAGGGTTGGCAGGACCCCCGGCAGGAGAGTAGTCGGTGGGACCTCCAACGAGACAGGACAAGGAGCTGGCAGGACCCCCGGCAGGAGAGTAGATGGCGGGACCTCCAACGGGACAGACATACGATTGGTAGGACCCCCGGCAGAGGAGTAGTCGACGGGGCCTCCAACGGGACAGGACATGGAGTTGGCAGGACCCCCAGCGGAACCTCCAACGGACCAGGACATTGGGTAGGGACTTGAGACGTGACTCGAGAGGGGAACCAAGGGGGAACTCGAGAGGGGACTCGAGAGGAGACTCGAGAGGGGACTAGAGGAGAGACTAGAGGGGGGACTAGAGGAGGAACTAGAGAAGGGAACTCGAGAGGGGACTCGAGAGGGGAACTAGAGAGGTGACTCGAGGAGGGGACTAGAGGAGGGACTAAAGGAGGGACTAGAGCAGGGACTAAAGGAGGGACTAAAGGAGGGACTAGAGGAGGGAACTCGAGAGGGAACTCGAGAAGGAACTCGAGAGGGAACTGGAGAGGGAACTCGAGAGGGAATTGGAGAGGGGACTCGAGAAGTGACTAGAGGAGGGACTAGAGATGGAACTCGAGAGGTGACTCGAGAAGGGACTAGAGATGGAACTCGAGAGGTGACTCGAGAAGGGACTAGAGATGGAACTCGAGAGGGGACTCGAGAGGGGACTTGAGAAAGGACTTGAGAAAGGGACTATGGCAGCTGGGGCCAGAGCTGGGTCTGGAACCATGGCCGCTGGGGCCAGAACTGGGTCTGGAACCATGGACGCTGGGGCCGGAACTGGGTCTGGAACCATGGCCGCTGGGGCCAGAACTGGGTCTGGAACCATGGACGCTGGGGCCGGAACTGGGTCTGGAACCATGGCTGCTGGGGCCGGAATTGAAGCCAGAATCATGGCTGTAAGTTCCGGTCTGGAGCCGGAAACATGGCTGTAAGGTCCGGTTCTGGAGCCGGAAACATGGCTGAATGGGCCGGCTCTGGAGCCGGAATTGAAGCCAGAAACATGGCTGCTGGTGCTGGAATCCTGGCCTTGCGTTTCCTTCCATGCTGCCTTGAAGCCTTGTGGAGGCTCAGAGGTCCTCCAAAAGCCAGACGAGACCCAGCGAAAGGGTCCTTGAAAGGAGCCTTGTTGGGAACTGTGGCCGGCAGGGGGCTAGCATGCCAGGGGCTAGCAGGCCGGGAAACAGGTTTGACCTCAAAGCTACCGAAAAAGTCTTCCACCCACTCGGGAAGTAACTCCTTTAACCAGGGCCTTGAGGTTACTTCTTGGCGTGCCGTTGAGATAATTGACTGCCTCTCTTCACTACTGGAGGCATATCGACAGTCGTTCTTAAAGCACATTAGGTTGTACGTCACCTCGTACAGGCTGTCTGCTGGGTCCATCTTTTGGTTGGTTGGTTCTGTTACGCTAGAGTGAAGCAGGCAGGACCCAAATGCAGAATACACTGATAACACCTTTATTTCAAGGATATGAATAAAACTCGGACAAAACAGAACACTCCCCGGTGAACTCAGTCACCAACAAAAGACGAACCAACACTGAACACAGGAAGAGCCAAGACTAAATACAGGGAGGGGTAATCACAAGACGAGAAACAGCCGGGCAGGGGAGGAGAACCACAAGGGCCACAGGTGAACACAATCAGACAACTAGACACACCAGGGAAACTAACGACAGGAGGAAAAACACAGGGAGAGGGACCAGACAATATACACGGAGGAAAACACGACAGGGAGAACAGCAAAACACCCAAAACAAGACATACAAAACGTGACATAACACAATAATCGTAACACCTCCCTTTATATTAATAGAACAATAATGTCATTGTTAGCTAATGAATGTTTCCATGCTGAACAACGGCAACATGACAACGTTTCCATTGGTCCCTCTTCTTTAGAGAAGACCAGGAAATGATGGATACACGGATCGTGTTCAAATCAATAGGCACGCAATGACTCTAAAGAATAATGATCACGCATCAAACACACATTCAGACTAAAGGAACCAGCTGTTTGGAAAATGTAAGAAGTAGAAAGTACAGGTATTTGTGTTCAACATGTAAGAAGTAGAAAGTACAGGTATTTGAGTTCAACATGTAAGAAGTAGAAAGTACAGGTATTTGAGTTCAACATGTAAGAAGTAGAAAGTACAGGTATTTGAGTTCAACATGTAAGAAGTAGAAAGTACAGGTATTTGAGTTCAACATGTAAGAAGTAGAAAGTACAGGTATTTGAGTTCAACATGTAAGAAGTAGAAAGTACAGGTATTTGTGTTCAACATGTAAGAAGTAGAAAATACAGGTATTTGTGTTCAACATGTAAGAAGTAGAAAGTACAGGTATTTGTGTTCAACATGTAAGAAGTAGAAAGTACAGGTATTTGTGTTCAACATGTAAGAAGTAGAAAATACAGGTATTTGTGTTCAACATGTAAGAAGTAGAAAGTACAGGTATTTGTGTTCAACATGTAAGAAGTAGAAAGTACAGGTATTTGTGTTCAACATGTAAGAAGTAGAAAGTACAGGTATTTGGGTTCAACATGTAAGAAGTAGAAAGTACAGGTATTTGAGTTCAACATGTAAGAAGTAGAAAGTACAGGTATTTGCTTTCAACATGTAAGAAGTAGAAAGTACAGGTATTAGTGTTCAAAATGTAAGAAGTAGAAAGTACAGGTATTTGTGTTCAAAATGTAAGAAGTAGAAAGTACAGGTATTTGTGTTCAACATGTAAGAAGTAGAAAGTACAGGTATTTGTGTTCAACATGTAATAAGTAGAAAGTACAGGTATTTGGGTTCGACATGTAAGAAGTAGAAAGTACAGGTATTAGTGTTCAAAATGTAAGAAGTAGAAAGTACAGGTATTTGTGTTCAAAATGTAAGAAGTAGAAAGTACAGGTATTTGTGTTCAACATGTAAGAAGTAGAAAGTACAGGTATTTGTGTTCAACATGTAAGAAGTAGAAAGTACAGGTATTTGAGTTCAACATGTAAGAAGTAGAAAGTACAGGTATTAGTGTTCAAAATGTAAGAAGTAGAAAGTACATGTATTTGTGTTCAACATGTAAGAAGTAGAAAGTACAGGTATTTGTGTTCAACATGTAATAAGTAGAAAGTACAGGTATTAGTGTTCAAAATGTAAGAAGTAGAAAGTACATGTATTTGTGTTCAAAATGTAAAAAGTAGAAAGTACAGGTATTTGTGTTCAAAATGTAAGAAGTAGAAAGTTCATGTATTTGTGTTCAACATGTAAGAAGTAGAAAGTACAGGTATTTGGGTTCAAAATGTAAGAAGTAGAAAGTACAGGTATTTGTGTTCAACATGTAAGAAGTAGAAAGTACAGGTATTAGTGTTCAAAATGTAAGAAGTAGAAAGTTCAGGTATTTGTGTTCAAAATGTAAGAAGTAGAAAGTACAGGTATTTGTGTTCAACATGTAAGAAGTAGAAAGTACAGGTATTTGTGTTCAACATGTAAGAAGTAGAAAGTACAGGTATTTGTGTTCAAAATGTAAGAAGTAGAAAGTTCAGGTATTTGTGTTCAACATGTAAGAAGTAGAAAGTACAGGTATTTGTGTTCAACATGTAATAAGTAGAAAGTACAGGTATTTGTGTTCAACATGTAAGAAGTAGAAAGTACAGGTATTGGAGTTCAAAATGTAAGAAGTAGAAAGTACAGGTATTTGTGTTCAACATGTAAGAAGTAGAAAGTACAGGTATTTGTGTTCAACATGTAATAAGTAGAAAGTACAGGTATTAGTGTTCAAAATGTAAGAAGTAGAAAGTACAGGTATTTGTGTTCAAAATGTAAGAAGTAGAAAGTACAGGTATTTGTGTTCAAAATGTAAGAAGTAGAAAGTTCATGTATTTGTGTTCAAAATGTAAGAAGTAGAAAGTACAGGTATTTGTGTTCAACATGTAAGAAGTAGAAAGTACAGGTATTTGAGTTCAACATGTAATAAGTAGAAAGTACAGGTATTTGAGTTCAACATGTAAGAAGTAGAAAGTACAGGTATTTGTGTTCAAAATGTAAGAAGTAGAAAGTACAGGTATTTGTGTTCAACATGTAAGAAGTAGAAAGTACAGGTATTTGTGTTCAAAATGTAAGAAGTAGAAAGTACAGGTATTTGTGTTCAAAATGTAAGAAGTAGAAAGTACAGGTATTTGTGTTCAAAATGTAAGAAGTAGAAAGTACAGGTATTTGGGTTCAACATGTAAGAAGTAGAAAGTACAGGTATTTGTGTTCAACATGTAAGAAGTAGAAAGTACAGGTATTTGTGTTCAACATGTAATAAGTAGAAAGTACAGGTATTTGGGTTCAAAATGTAAGAAGTCAAAGTAAAAAGTCATCAGAAAAACAAGTAGTGGAGTAAAGTACTGATACCAGAAAAATGTACTTAAGTACAGTAACGAAGTATTTGTACTCCACTACTTCCCACCATGCTCTGCAGTAACTTTAACGAGGAGGTGATGGCGACCTTCCGGCTGGCCTTCAGGGTCGCCAAAGTTCAGCAGTACTCCGACAGCTTCGTCCAGGACCTGCTGAGAGCTGGCCTGGGATCAGTGATGCACGGCCAACCTCTGGAGGTGCCGGGGTTCGGAGAGATCCACGCTATCATCTTACTGGGTAATAAACCTGGACCGTCGTCACTGTGTCCTTTAGGTGGAAGAGACCAAAATAACCCACAGGATCTAATGGGTGTCTTTCTCCTTCTTCCCAGGAGCCAGTGGGAAGTCATTCTATTCGATTGGAGATGAGATGAATGGTGAGTGAATATGTAGATGCATGTTAAAGAGTGAAAAAACATCCTGAGCATATTTTACAGTGTTTTGAGTTGTGTTTTTAATATCATGGGGGATAGTGTCACAGAGAAATATGCTTTTCTGTCAAAAATATAGTTTAAAAAAAGCTCTTTTCTGTGACCTTTAGGTTTATTTCATAGTCGGATTGGGAAATATGAGACTATATTTATTTTTATGTTGAATATTGTAATATAGCAAGAGTAAGAAAATGTATGTTTCAAAGTCAAACAACCCGGGACTTACATATTATCAAAAAAATAACGAAAGAGTTAAGAAAACATTGGAGATTAAGAAAAAGTAACAATGAGAGAGATAATTTAAAAGTATTTTGAGGAGTGGGCTTGGCAAATTCAGAGTCTGCATTAGTAGTACAATACGTAATTTTCTGTCACAGTTGTCCCATTTTCATCGTCACTCACCTATAAGACACTTTGAACTGCACTCACCTGTATGAAAGCTGCTATAGGCTCTCTCTATGAAGACGTTTCTGTATTGCACCTTTCTCTGTGCCTCTGAGCTGCTACATGTCTCTCTAACCCATGCTCTGCAGCCAGGTGTCCTGACAACACGTTCACCTGTGATAACGGAGAGTGTGTCACCGAGTTAAATCCAGAGTGTGACTTCACCCCCGACTGTGCCGACGCATCGGATGAAGCCCGATGTGGTAAATCACTTCAAACTAATACTCTTTCAAAACAATGCACTGGCACTGACGGTCATATTGTTGACACCTTGATCTCCAAGGGACAGTTTCATCCCACAGGCCATAAGACTTTCAAACACCTGAACTTTTGAAAGAACATCCATAACATCCATCTGTTTGCAACTTATTTTTACTCCAATTACTTGTATATAGACTATTCTGCACTATTTCTACTATATTCTATTTTATTTTATTTACTTGCACTATTATATCTGTTTTATTGTGTTGCGCTGTTGGAGGAGCCTGTGACCTCAGATGTTCATTGTCATAATCATAATCAACTCTCTATAACAAATCACCTCTGGCTGGATGAGAACTGTCTGCTCCCTAGTGTCTCTTAATAACTGGACTTAAAATCCCACTTTTCAATATTGAATAATCCATTCTTGCACAATAGTATCCTGCATTATATTTGTTACTGGACATTTGAAGCTTTACAATGGGAGATAAAATAACAAAACAAAAATAATAATCACACAGACACACAGGTTGAAAAGCAGGTTGCTGGGTACTGCATTTTAGCTGGGCCCGAAGACCTGAGTGAACAGATGGTGTTTGAGTTTTAGTTTGAAAGTGTCCAGGGAGTCAGCATTCCTGATAGCAGAGGGGAGAGAAGGTGGATGAGGGTGGGGGTGATGTGTTGCCAGGGCTTAGTGTGGGTGAGGAGCCTGGCTGCAGAGTTCTGGACGTACTGGATCCTGTCCAGGGCTTTGCTGGTGACCCCGAACAGAACTCCATTGCAGTAGTCCAGGGGAGAGGAGATGAAATATAGTATCTATCTATCCATCTATCTATCTGTCTGTCTATCTATCTATCTATCTATCCATCCATCCATCCGTCTGTCTGTATATATATATATCTATCTGTCTATCTATATATATATATATATATATCTATCTGTCTATCTATCTCTCTCTATCTATCCATCTATCCATCCATCCATCTATATATATATATATATATATCTGTCTATCTATCTGTCTATATATCTATCTATCTATCCATCTGTCTATCTGTCTATCCGTCTATCTATCTATCCATCTATCTGTCTATCTATCTCTCTCTATCTATCCATCTATCCATCCATCCATCCATCTATATATATATATATATATCTGTCTATCTATCTGTCTATATATCTATCTATCTATCCATCTGTCTATCTGTCTATCCGTCTATCTATCCATCCATCTATCTGTCTCTCTATCTATCCATCACTACATCTGTAGCTATGTACAAATGACAATAAAAGCCTTGAAATCTTGACTTCCTCCTCAGCCTGTGGTACTCGTCCGGCGATGGGCAGTCGGGTGGTGGGGGGCGAGGACGCCCGGCACGGGGAGCTGCCCTGGCAGGTGAGTCTGCGGCTGCACGGACGCCACACCTGTGGAGCCTCCATCATCAGCGAGCGGTGGCTGGTCAGCGCCGCCCACTGCTTCGAGAGGTAGGCCGTGTGCACAAATCACTGAGGAGAAAATATCTGTCTAGCTAGGACACTTTCCACAATGGCATTTTTAATAAATAACGTGAAAAACTGATTGTGCTATTGAGTTACTTGCATGTCAATTATGTATTTTATGTGTAATGCTCCAAAGAAATAAGGGACAGCATTTCCACGTCATACTGGGACCATACAGTCTACGTTTACAGTCATCAGTTATTAAAACAATTGTCACTATTCATTTACAGCAAGGAGCAAATAAGCAAAATGAAACTAAACTGTGTTATCCAATCATCTTCACGTGTGGTTCAAGCCCATGGTTTTAAGTTGAAGTTTTTGGTTTAACAGTGCCACTAACCTGGGGATGATGTAGACTAGGGTCATACAGATCATTGCAGCATTACCCATAATCCCCTCTGTTTCAGCCCCGTTTCAAAAGTGCTGATTCTCTGTCTGTTACTTTAGATGAAAATAAGGAGCCCCTCCCCACGCCCCTCTGAGAGAGATTTGGTTACAAAGAACTCAATGGTGCTCTAGGACAGGGGGGTCGAACTCAAATACACAGTGGGCCAAAATAAAAAAAATGGGTACTAGTGGAGGGCCGGACTGGTTCAATGTTTATTGCAGAACTTATTGAAATGAACTTATTGCACATATTAAACCTGGATCTAACAAAGCTTAAATGATTGCCTATAAAAACAACATTAAATAATCAATTGCATTCATTTCTTATGGCTCTATCAGCAGCTTTTCCAGAGTCATTTCTTATGATTACATTTTCCCACAGGCCAACAACAGCTTCAACAAAACTATTTCAATCATGAGAGACGTGATGTATGAAATACATGTTTAATACCGGACACGTGGTATAGAAAATTATGATTGACAGATTACAACAATGAATCAACTGATGTTTGGAGATTAGGCCCCGGTTTGTAGGATATCATTCGGGAGGGGAAAACCGCTCCGATGAACCCCCAAAGAGAAGAGAAGTAAGAAGTGCTGAGATGTGAAGCATTTCTTACCTTGCTGGCTGATTGAGGAGATCTGCGGATGACATGAGATAACACCGGGACATGATGAGATTGTCGGAATAACTGTAGGGTTAATGTGAACGCCAACCATGCTTAGCGCCTGCATGTTGGATTAGACGATGCTGACCCACAGGCCGCAACCTGCACGCGCAGGGTTAAACATGACGCTGACCCACCGGCCGCAACCTGCACGCGCAGGGTTAAACATGACGCTGACCCGCTGGCCGCAACCTGTACACACAGGGTTAAACAAAAGCTGACCCATAGGCCGCAACCTGTACACACAGGGTTAAACAAAATGCTGACCCATAGGCCGCAACCTGCACACGCAGGGTTAAACAAAATGCTGACCCATAGGCCGCAACCTGCACACGCAGGGTTAAACAAAATGCTGACCCATAGGCCGCAACCTGCACACGCAGGGTTAAACAAAATGCTGACCCATAGGCCGCAACCTGCACACGCAGGGTTAAACAAAATGCTGACCCATAGGCCGCAACCTGCACACGCAGGGTTAAACAAATGCTGACCCATAGGCCGCAACCTGCACACGCAGGGTTAAACAAATGCTGACCCATAGGCCGCAACCTGTACACACAGGGTTAAACATGACACTGACCTACTCGCCCTGCACGTGCAGGGTTTAAACATAATGCGGACCCACTGGCCGCAACCTGCGCGGCAGGATTCAATGCGAGCGAACCTGGAGGTCACGACGATATGAAGTGTTTAAACATGAACACGGTGACACGGACATGTGCTGACTTGCTAAGACCACCACCAGTTGTATGTATAAATACCGTTTAGTGTTCGGACCTTGGATGGCCGGCCAGCACGCACGGATGTCCGGGCGAATGTGGGATATGAAGGCGGAGGAGAACCACCGTCCGAGTTGGCAGGGAGGAGGGAGATATGCCTTGAATGGCTGCACCTGTCTGAACGAAAGCCCTGATATGCTATTAGACGCCACCACCAGTTATATGCATATTTACCATAGGTAAACTGAAGAGATCTTGATTGGCGGCACGAGCCGATGTCCGGTGAAGAGGGAGATGTAGACGATATAATGCCCGAGAGCTGTTAGCTTGAGTACGGTGATGCATGAATATCGTAACCTGGTTTACCACGAGCCAAGTGAGCATGAACCCGAGAATATGAATGAAGTGCCGGATGCACGCAGAAAAGACGTACACTTGGTTAAATACTGAGACATGACCCATGATATAGTATATCTTAATTAGCGTTAAGTGTGCCGGGATGAGTCATAGATGCTGATGAGCTGATAGAAGACAGTCTTAATCACTCAATCATCTGAAGTGAGGATGATGGAGGGACGCTAGTGTTAGATCCAGCAAGTGTGATAAAAATGTGTAGAAATAGTGGAAATCTGAATGATCTCATGCAGATATCCCCCCCCAAAACGGAGGATGTGCAGTGCACGTCCTTAAGTCGGGGAAAACACGGTCGTCGTGAGGCCGGCGGATGCCACGTCCAGGAACGGGAGATGATGCGTGCCGAAGAATCCGCATGCAAAGTACGGTTGCCCGGTGAGGAAGAGCAACTGTCGTTGAAGACGTTTATGTGGATGCACGCGGTTGGTTAGAGGAACGATAATACCATGAGCTTGATGTGATGGCTAGGAACTCCGGTGTGAGACTGGGCCTGTAGTTCCTCATGATTAGGAACGCTGTGCTCCTGGAGGAGTCTCTTCTGTTTCTTCTTCTCTTTTCCCAGTTGAGCGGAGTTGTAGTTTAGTAATGTTGTATTTGAACGCTAGATGCGTGAAGGCAACGCATTAGGAGATCTCCCTGAGCAGTGGGTGATTTGAACTGGGGAGAGACGCTATTAATATTATTACCCGAATAGCCGGTGCACGCATAGTTTCTCCTACTTGACTTAAGGCGGAAGAGTTCCGCTGAACGATGATGGGAACATTAAAGCGCGTCGTAATATCTGCTTTGAAGAGCCGCCTTGGCCTGCACGCTATTAGATTACATTATCTCCGTGCGTAGAAAGGGGGGAACATTGACCTTGTCATCGAGATTGTCACCTGAGCATTTACCGAATTGTATTAAATAATCTGTCGACAGGCAGATTGAAACAGAAAAGCTGAAAACTAATAAATACTCAGTTAATCATTAACCGAGTTTGTATAATGTAGTTAATAATTCCTTACATTTATTATAGCGCTTTTTCAATGACTCAAAGCGCTTTACATATACACACATTACACGTATATCATACATGTAATGCAATGGTCAGATACTGTGGACAATACCCACAGGAGCAAGTTCAGGTGAAGTGTCTTGCCCAAGGACACGCCGGCTTTACACCCCTTGATCTGATGATCATTGCACAGCGCACTGCGCCACACCGTCCATCTTCACGCCTCGAGGTCATCGAGGCGCTTTTACAAGTACACATTGGTATCATACATCTACTGTGGATAATACCCACAGGAGCAAATCCGGGTGAAGTGTCTTGCCCAAGGACACAACGGCCTGACGCAGTGGCGGCAGGAGCGGGTTTCGAACTGGAGTTCCCCAGCACTCCCCCTTGATCTGATGATCGGATGCACAGACCACTGCGCCACCCGTCCCTACCCCACAGTTACTCTGTGTTGCTGCTAGCATACATAACATCTGACGTGGGAACGTTACTCGTTACTACGGAGCTGCTAGAAAGACAGTGGAACCCGGTGCATTCCTCCGTCTGGATGTGGAGCACTTTTGCTAAATGTTTAGACAAAGTGCTCGTGTTACGCCCTTACATGATGAACTCTTATTGCACTTTGGCAACGAGCATCCCCACATCGAAGCGGGTGAAGTTAACCACGCCTCGGAGCGCGTTCTCTCCGCCACCTCCGCAGTGTGCTCCGCTGCATGTAGCAGCTGTGTGTGTAAACTGCCCCGTCCCCTCGCGATGGGGGAGAGAGATCTCATCTGATCGAAAATACATCAGGCGCATTTGTTTGTCCTTTGCATATTAGAACGAGTTGTGACACTAGACTGCGATATAATGTTTTTGTAGCAATAAACATGACATATTTTTATAAATGTCTCCGGTACTGATAAAAAGACCAATAACGTTGGAGCTTACGCACGTAAACACACTGCTGACGTCACGATGAATCGACGACTGAATTAGTTGCAACTAATCGATTAGTCGTGGCACCCTTAGTCGCTGCAACTCTGACTACTTTTACATCCAGGCTGAAGACTTTTCTTTTGTCGCTGCTTTTAATTGAACTATTCATATATTAAAACTTTTTCTTTTAATGTTTATTTTATTAGCTTCCTTTTAAATGACTGATTTTAAATGCCATTTATTAATGTCTTTCATTTTTTAAAGCAATTTGAATTGCCTTGTATTGAAAGTGCTATATAAATAAACTTGCCTTGCTGCCAAGGAGATGTTGTCGCAGATCTAGCCGTTGGTGCAACAAGAAACGGAATATTCTTAGTGGAGAAGAAAAAGAGAAAACCGATCATTTAGTCAATAATCATTAAATTAATATTGGGAGTGAATTCCTAATTTATTTAGTATCTGGTCATAAACAGGATAATGTGCAGCGACTTGTTCATTGAGGAAAAGAAGCCCTACGGAACGCCATTCATTTCAGGAAACGCTGTGTTGAAGCTTGAACCTGCGTTTAGTTACTGAGCATTGTAATGAGTAATTACCCGACTGCATTAGTAATGCAAGTAATACGTTACTGAAACTCCATACTGTAGCACGTTACTCCCAACACTGCCTGAAGCTCACCTTAACCCTGACTAGAGGTAGCAATGCATAGTGTTGAACTTCCTGTCGGCTCCCAGACCGTAGTCGAGGAAACGGGGGGGGGTGACTCTCTGTCGTCTCCCAGGGCAGAAGCAACACGCTTCTGGTTCAATAACCCATTTTATCGGAAAGACTGGAGAGAGGCGAGCTCTTCTTGGGAGGTCGTTGCATCTGTTTCGCAAGATAGATTTCGCAAGATCGCAGACCTTCCTTTTTTCTGCTGCCTCGTTATTTCTAAAACATGTATCCCGCTCGCTCATACTATGCCCACGCACACATGCACACGCCACACCCCTCTCTTAAGGGGTAGCGATCTCACTCTGCATGACCCAAATGTCGCAACAATATACGAAACATCTCGTGAATTTGTTGCAACTGCCTTTGCCAACGTTACCCTGACGCCTGTTGAAGTGAGCGCAGGAGGAATAGCTTCAATGGGATAGCTTAAGCGCTGCCTGCCTGCCTGCAGGAGGGGTTGTAGTTGAAGCCAGAATGGGTAAAACTCCGCATGTGATGAGGACCCGTTCCGCGTGAAGCCGGAAGCGCTGCATTAGGCGGCGCTGATGCCAGTGATGCCTTCTCAAGAGACTGAAGCGTACGTCAGTTGTTTGCGTGAAGTAGCCATTCCCATTAGGCCGGAGGAACTTCCATGGAGCCAGATTTCCTTGTCTTTTCCTCCCGCGTCCGGGCTTGCGGGACGGCCGGCTGACCCGCTACCCGACTGGGGAACGCAGCCTGTAGCTTAATCCGCGATACTGCGGAGCTGATGAATAAATGCCTGGGGCTGGAACGAAGCCCTCAGCTGGGCCAAAGCCCTGCTGCTGCTTGGCTTAACCATGAACGCCGTGACGCGTACACTTGTGCGTTGACACCTGAAATGACAACTGACAGAGAGGGAAGAGCAGATTTAAAGGGTTTAGCAGGTGCAATGATTGCTAGCTGGGGAGTACCGCCCCTGATTACTTAATGGGAGAAGAGCTTGCAGTGACGTGTAACACCAGGGGGTATGGTCTTCCTTCTTGAACTTGCGCTAAGCTTCATTTCCCTCAAAGAGAAAACCAAACATGCCCTGTTGTCGTGAGAGAGAAAGTGCAGAAGGAAACATCCATTAAACTCAGTGTGCTGCTCTGTGATGCTAGTTCAGATACTTGGCATCTCATCTTGGGAGCAAGGTCATCAATGTTTGGGCTCAGGCTCTGAGCTGAGGAGACCCTCAGGATGGAGTGAAGGTGTGCGTGCAATATACCGGCGGGCCAGATCTAATAGTAATCAAACATTATCCTGCGGGCCGAAATTAAATCCACCAAGGGCCTGATTTGGCCCCCGGGCCTTGAGTTTGACACATGTGCTGTAGACCAAAGAAAATGTGTTTCTTGTTTCTCTAACTTTAGATTTCCCCCCATTAAAAAACTTTTAAAATGCACTTTCAAATTATTTACAACCCTTCGGGCCAGCTCTAATTCATAATTCATAATTGACCGAAGTTCAGAAACCCATAGACTATTAAGGCTCAATTACTGTTAGAAGACAGGAGTGACTAATTATAGTATGACCCCAAAAAACAGAGAAATCTGAATATTTTTTTAATCTATTTTTTATTCCAGGTGAAATTGGGTTTTGGGACAGTTGCTACATTTTAAAATAAGATCAAATTCAAACAAAAATTCAAACAAATAAAAACAACAAAAAATGTAATTTAAATAAAATAACAATATAAATTAATTAAAATACATTTAACTTCCATTGACCCTATCTTACAGATTGGATCTTCTTAAATCTCGTCATCTCTTTCTCTCTGTTTCCAGGGACGACGACCCCTCAGAGTGGACGGCCCTCGTCGGGGCGCGGCTCGTGAACGGAGACGAGTCCGAGTCCAAGATCATCCGCATCAAGTCTCTGGTGGTGTCTCCGGACTACAACCCGATGACCACGGACAGCGACGTGACGGTGCTGGAGCTGGAGACCCCCCTCACCTTCAGCTCCTACGTGCAGCCCGTCTGTCTGCCCTCCCTGTCTCACGTGTTCTCCCCCGGGCAGAGATGCATGGTGTCCGGCTGGGGGGCCCTGCACATGTACAACTGTGAGTTGCTGCATATCATCACATTTCTCTCCACATGTCCCAATCCTAACCTATACTATCATTAGAGTCAAACATCCCAGATTACAATACAACAAATCTAAATACTGATTCTGATTTTATCTCAATTGGAATTGGGATCAAATATATTTTGCAATGATTATCTGTCCAAGAAAGCAGTCATACCTGCAGGAGTACATCCAACACATTTAGAGTGAAAAGGAACTCTTTTTTAATGTTTGGTACCAAATATTACGAAATCAATACATATTTTGTGATAGACTGTTTTAGCTGTCGTGTGAGTTTTTGTTCCTTGAGGTTAAAAAATAAGAATTATACAAAAATGTTTTGGATTAGGTGCTTCAATCTACTATTATTTTTGATAACTATTAGGCTTTAAAATGTCATAAAATAAAGAATTGTGTCCATTCCAGTTTGTCCAGTCCAAGACAATGTCTTTTAATATCTAAAATCCTAATATTTTCTGTTTATTGTGATATAAAACAGCGAAAGGAAGGAAATCTTCATATTTTAGAGGCAAAAATTACCAACAATTAATTGATGATCAAAATAATTGGCTGATTTTAAAGCTCTAATGCGAATACTAAAACGAATCAAGGCATTCAATGTAGAGGAAATGAATGGAGTTATTCCCAGGTTCCTCCAACATACAGAAAACTTCAAAAGAAACAAAATTGAGCATAAGACATAATAATGCATGTTATTATAATCAGTACGAGTAATTGTATATGTCGTGTCTCTTCTGTATTTTAGTGGATGTTCCCCCAGTGCTGCAGAAGGCGGTGGTGAAGATCATCGACTCCAAAGTGTGCAATAAGTCTGCGGTGTACAGAGGAGCAGTGTCTCAGAACATGATGTGCGCCGGCTTCCTGAAGGGCAAGGTGGACTCCTGTCAGGTCAGTGCTGCTCCACCTGGGTCACGTGAGGCTGAGAGATATCATCTCACATCCTCTGACAATGCTTTCTTACCTCAGGGCAAAGTCTGTGTACGTACACTGATGATTTGTAAAGTAGGGCAAACACTGTGTATTTACATTGGTCCTGTCCTAGAAATAGAGAACTAGGCTGTCATTGTATCTCAGCACAACAATATGAGTGCTGTTAATAAAACAGTGAGAAAACATGACGTCCTTCACCAGTAAAGGCTCAATCCAGCTCCCATGTAATCTTGTTGAGTCATCTGAACACGATACGGATTCAATTGTTGACATATTTTACGGGAAAATCAACCAAAGTATACAGAATTGGAAAAAATGACAATCTCTTTGAATTGTGTCTTTTTATTTGTTACTACAAATATTTTTCTTTTCACAAATGTTGTCATGAACATCTCTTGATCGAGCCAGAAAGAGTTACCTTTTCAGGGTTTATATATATATTTTAAAATCATATCTTCTGAACGCCTTGTGATATTACAACCACACTTGGAAGAAATTGGTACTAAGTACAAAAAAACCGACTAAATCACTACTTGTGTTTTTCTTGCTAAACAACCCCCAGGCTGGTGGAAATGTATTGCCCTGTTTATGAACATGTTATATGCACATGGGGACTTGAAACATTGTCTTACTTGTTGGCAAGATGTCCAATACGTTTCAATAAGGTTCAATTTACACATGAAACCCTGGAAATCAACTAAAATAGAATCACCCAAAATGTACCAGAACCTTTGTAAAAACACTTACTCACACATTTTTCACAGGACAACAGTTTCACATTGGAAAATCACAGATATGTTGTGTTTCCCCCACAGGGTGACTCTGGGGGGCCTCTGGTGTGTGAGGGGGCCCCGGGGCGGTTCTTCCTGGCTGGGGTGGTGAGTTGGGGAGTGGGCTGTGCTCAGATCAACCGGCCGGGGGTCTACTCTCGCATCACAAAGCTCCGCAACTGGATCCTGAGTCACACCGACCCCAGCCTGGTGCCTGACTTCCCTCAGTCTGTTCCCACTGTACCAGTGACTGTGACTGAGGGGGGCTTTAATCACCCACCAGTACCCCGGACTGCCGCTGTGGAAGTGACCCCTGCACCAACACTCAATGGTAATGTCACACTGAAAGCAGCCTAATCTATCTGTCTCGCTAGGACACTTTCCACGATGGCATTTTCCAAAAATAACTTGAAAAACGAATTGTGCTATAAAGTTACTTGCATGTGAATTATGTGTAATGGGCCAAATAAATGGGGGACAGCATTTCAACTCCACTACTGGGACCATACAGTCTAAGTTTACAGTCATCAGTTAGTAAAAATTGCCACTATTAACTAACAGCAAGGAGCAAATAAGCAAAATGAAACTAAACTTCTCCAATCATCTTCACGTGTGGTTAGTTAACTATTGGTCACTCATTCATCAGTTACCAAGAGAAATGTGATGAAGTTAAATGATACCACTGAACGCAATCAAGGTGAACGTTAGCCACGTTTAGCTTAGCGGTGGTGATGAGATTTACTCCTCGAAAAAAGTGTTGTTAATTTACGGGAATATTTTGTTTTTGATTCCAGGGGAAATTGGGTTTTGGGAATACGAATCAAGTTAAAAAAAAAATGAAAGCAAATGTAATTAAAATAAAATAACAATAGAAAATAACTAAAATGATCATAACCTTTTTCCAGCCACAGAGTTTGTTTCCTGGAAATGTTCTGGAAAAATCGAATTTGTGTTTTGTGGAGGGAACCAGTACGATGCTTACTTCCTGATTAGCCTACCACATGTTGTCATTCCTGCAGCACTCATTACTTTTTTAAGTGTAAATCTCATGCTTTATGATCTGTCCATCACGTGTTGCAGTCATGAACTGCAGTGGAAACTTCCAGTGCAGCGCCACCGCCTGCATCAGCAAGGTCAACGCGGAGTGTGACGGCGTCTCAGACTGCGCTAACGAGGCGGACGAGAGAAACTGTGGTAAGGAGTTCATTTTATAGAAGAAAGCTAATTAAGCTGGACATGGGTATAGCAGGAAGCCCACACATCCTCCGTTATAAACCAATAACCCACCCGTGTCCAATGTAACTTAGCCAATTAAAAATAAAACGGTTACAACGTTTTGGCTTATCTGAAGCTAATATATTGCAGGATTCAGGATTCAGTATCTGCATGGTTGATTGCATGTTCTCTAAGTTGTATTGGATAAAAGGGTCAGTTAATAAAACGTAATGTAATGAGTGTTTTTGTTTCAGACTGCGGCCTACGTCCTGCGTTGGGCTCCCAAAGGATTGTGGGAGGAGTGACAGCTCGTAGGGGGGAGTGGCCGTGGATCGGCAGCCTGCAGTACAAGAGACTGCACCGCTGTGGCGCCACTCTCATTCACAACAAATGGTTAATCACTGCGGCACACTGCTTCAAAAGGTACTGCTAAACGTAGAATAGCCCACAAAAGTATTAGTGTTTATGGAAAACATGTCTACCATAGAGTGTTGCAGGAACGAGTCCTAAAACCCGGAAGTGAGTTAGCATTTTACCACTTCCGGTTCCCTCGTCTCAGAGTCAATGGGATTTCTCCATAAGATTTTGGAAAATAGCTGGAAATAAGATCTGTGGTTGAAACAAATTGAAGAGACCGATCACGTTTTGTTCTACGACATTAAATCCATCAGCAGTGACCCCACTGGTGATTTCTGAAGAGTTGACGTGTCTGAAAAACGATGGTTGTTAACAGTGTTGGGGAAGTTACTTTTAAAAAGTAGTGTTTGCTCGTTACTCGTTACTTCTTTAAAAAAGTATTTTGACCTAAATCAAAATATAATATTATTTTCAAAAGCTTTTTTTGTCTGATGCTTCAATTAATTTTAAACAGACAGTTCAACAGAAGGATACCCAAAAAAAAAAATTGTATCATTCAAATATTGAATTGTTCTCTCTTAGTAAGATCCCATTTTCAATAAAATTGCAGTCTTACCTTGACTTGAAGATGAAGTCCATTTGCCTATCCTTCTGGACAAAAATCTCTATTACTTTTTTGTAAAAGTCCTCCTTATGTTCTTGTAGTTTCAAAAGTCTATCATAAATCTAATCTAATCAATAGATTTATGATTCGAAAATTATAAAAATAGGGTAGACATGTGGATATTATCCGGCTGAACAAAACGTGCATTTATCTAACAGGTTTGTTTCCCACAGATCTTATTTGGAGCTATTTTCTAAAATCCTATGGAGAAATCTCATTGCTTTTTTGTCGAGGGAAGCCATGCGCAGCTTACTTCCTGGTTTTAGGACGCCTCACTGCAGCTCTCTCGTCTCCTCTTCACACACCACACTTTTCGCGGCACACGTACTTACAGCCAATCAGCTCTGAATGATGTGAGATGACGTATGGTGGGGATGGCAGCTCAGTGCCCCTATGGTCATTATTTTTTTGCCACACACATTAAATAGGAAAATATTCTGAGCATGCGCAGTGTAGTTTTTACAGTCACCGTTCACTTAGACAGTGAGAGGGAGGGGCAGGATCGGGTTTTGTCCCACATGGCTCTAAACAGCTCAATAGGCACACACTGTAGACACTAATTAGAAGAACACAGACTAAAACAGCAATGTACAGACGAATCAGATGATTAAACATGATCTTAAAATATATTTAATATATTTTTTAATTTATTTTTTGCATTTTTTGGTAATCATTATTTTTAATACTTTCTGCTGACACTAGGTGGGGCTGTGCCTAGGTGCAAAGCTAGTGCAAATCATATCAATAGGCTACTAAATAGGCTTGGACTCGAAATATCATCATTTCCCCGGGGATCTTGAGCTCACATTTTTCCCCAACAAGTTCGAAGTAATGGGAATACCTCCATCCCTCGAATGTTAGCGTTGGCTGCGCCTGCTTCTCGCTTGCCATCAGTGCTCTTCAGTCTTCATGCCACCACCAGCGGCCAGCCTCTATCACGTACAGTGTGGAATGAGAGCTCGTGCCTAATGCGTAAGCACACAGCTGAGTAGGCAGTGTCACTGTCACTCGTCCCTGGGAAAAGTAACGTTGCGGCGAATTGAAGAAGAAACTACGTTACGTTACCAAATGTTCCGTAGTAGCGCGTTATACTACTTTTTACCTGGCAAAAGTAGTTACGTTAGTTACGTTACACCCAACACTGGTTGTTAACAAGTGGCTGAATAGGACTACAGAAGTTGTCGAGGACGTTGTAGGCCTACGTCATTACGCCAAACACGTAAACACTCCTCTTGCCCTGTTCTGCTTGAAAGCAAGTACCTGCCTTCTGCAGACTGTTAAAACAAACGCTTCAACTTGTTCCATTTTTAATGTGTATTTTTGAATATGGATCTTAAGTTGGCGTGACGTTGAAGTCGTGCGACCCTGCTGTAGTTCGTTTATAGCATAACGTTAGCATTTTGCTTCTGGCGATTAGATTTATGATTAAAATATCATAAAAGTAGGGTAGACATGTGGAGATTATCCCGCAGAACAAAACGTGCATTTATCAAACAGGTTTGTTTTCCACAGATCTTATTTTTTACAATATTCCAAAATCCTATGGAGAAATCCCGTTGCTTTTTGTCGAGGGAACCAGCAGCTTACTTCCGGGTCGGCCTACACAAATACGTCATCCCTGCACCGCTCTATTACATCCAGATCTGGACTGAGTCTTTATCTTTCCCCTCCGCAGTGACGCCAGCCCCTCTAACTGGGCCGTGAGTCTGGGGTCTGTGCTGCGCTCGGGGATCGGAGCGCTGGTGATCCCCATCCAGAGGATCGTCATCCACCCGGCCTTCAACGGCTCCACCATGGACCACGACGTGGCTCTGTTGGAGCTGGCGGTCCCAGCCCCCATGTCCTACACCATCCAGTCCGTCTGCCTCCCCTCCCCCGTGCATCGCTTCCCCATAGAGGCAGAGTGCTACGTCACAGGCTGGGGGTCCATGAGGGAGGGAGGTGAGAGAGTCAAAATCCAATTATTGTTATAGAAAGGCATTTAATGATTGCATCAAAATGTTACATGCTACAAAAAACTGCAGAATTGGACATCATTGTCAGGAGGGAATGTTAACAACGGAGCAAAAGCTGCCACATTATTTATGTAATAATGATAAGACTTAATAAAACAAATGAAAACACAATAATTGTTCTGTTCAAACTATATTTATAACTAACCCTTCAGAAACTGTAGATATGTTATATTAGAGGTAGATATATTGACTTTAATGATTACCATTGTAAAGCCTTGAGTTTGGCATATTGGCCATTGCTCTCTTGATTAACTGTTACGATCTGAAAACTCAGTGTGAAATTGTTAAAGTCGTGAGGCCAAAGTTGGACAACACTGTGTTTTAGCGACCTGTCCATCACAAGGTAGCCATACCATAAATAAATACCCACTTTATTGTCTATTTTAATTCAAAATAGACATCCTGTTGTATGGATAACAATGTAACACTAACAACTAAGACCATAAACTCATCAGAAAAGTGTTTACTGATGTAAAAAATCAAGTGGGGCATTTTCCTCATTGGCTTCACTTGTTAAACCCGGAGTTGCCAGGTGTTATGATCAGATTTAAAGTATTTGTGAAAATGCATTTACCACTCATATAATCTTTATTTTTCTGCCAGGCTCGTTGACCAACATGCTGCAGAAGGCTGCAGTGAGCATCATCGAGCAGGCAGACTGCAAACAGCCGTACAGAGACGCTCTGACTCCTAACATGATGTGTGCCGGATACATGGAGGGAGGAAAGGACACCTGCTGGGTGAGAACTGGACTCTTTGATGTTTTCACTTGAAATAAGTATAAAAATCTGCCAATAGAACAAATGAAAATGTGCTTGGTAAGATTTCTTGAAATAAGAAGGGATATTCAGATAAATCAGATCTTGTAATTAGCTGGGAGAACTCATTTTGAACTATATTTCACCAGAACCAGGAGATGTTGTTACAATATAAGCCACAAATACTCCAAAGCTTTCTGTTTTCTGATGTTAGTTGGTGATTTTCCAATACATATAATCTGAGATACAACTCAAAATAAAAAATGTTGACTTACCAGGATGATGCACAAGACCCTATATCTCACTGCAGTGTTACTTCTGAAGTTATTATGTCTTATATCAGGTGTAGAGACATATTCTTACTAGATATTAGACAAATATACTTGGCAAGATTTCAAATTGTTGTAGTGCAGAATCTGAGCAGAAAGATTATCAAACAAAAATAAACATAAATACAATGATTTAAAAACGGCAACTACATTGCACACTTTATAATGTATTTATCCTATGATTATATATGTTTTAGTAGTAGGGTATAGTGTATTTTAACTTATTCTGTATATATCTATATAGTGTGCAGTATCTTCTATTGTGAATATGTTTACTTATTTTACTGTGTATGGTTTCAATTCATGTGCAATGCCTTTTGTATATGCTGCTGTAACAAAACCATGTCCAATTTGTGATCAATTAAGTATATATAATCTAAAAAGTGCTAATAGAAAATAGAAAATAGGGTTATGGCTCCAATAAAGGTTTTTATAGTGGATTCTTAACCCAGTCAGAGCAAAAGTAAATGTTGCATATAACTTCTTAGATGTTCCTAAGAGTCATCAGCATATTTCTAACTCATAATTTGGAAATAAGTGATGCATTTTATGTGTTGCACTTTCAGTACTTTTGCGGAGAGTAGACTATGTTCCCAAATAAAATACACAGCCCCCTTTCCCCTCGCTTTAATCTTCTCATGTAAGGAAACCCTCGTGCATTCCTGTCTCGGTCAAAGCACCTGGCATCCCAGCAGCGAGCCAAGTGACATTCTCTCTGAAGCTCACTCTTCTGCTCCCCTGCTCATCCTTAATTAATCATTTTATTCATCCTTACATGCCGGAGACCTCTGTGCATGGAGGTTATTTAAAGGTCTCCTATCATGCAAAATGCACTTTTTGATGTCTTTTATACATAAATATGTGTCCCCGGTGTGTCAGGGAACTCACAAAGTGTCAGGAAATAAAACCCTCTCTCTTTTCCTCCGTACCCAAATCTCAAAAAACGGGGCTGCAACGGAGCTGATCCAGATTTGAGTCCGATATGACGTAATATCTGAAATGTGGACCCACGGCCCAATCAGAAACAATGCCCGACGTGTTTTGGACGTAATGGTCTTTGTTTACATTAGCATCGCTAACACTCAGAGCTAACCTGTACTGGAGAGAGTGGGTGTTTCTCAATGTCGAGGAGGCTTGCTTGGTAGCACATGTACCTCCGAGTGAGTTCTTTAAGAAGCGAGGCAAGAATACCTCCTAGCCTCGGGAAAACGAAGAAAGGAACAGGCTAGCAAGTGCGCCTTACATTACATCCGCCAAAGATTTGGGAAATTGGTCCGTGCGCAAAGCATTGTGGGGATTTTAAGACCGCGGAGTCTACACGAAATTTCCCGCAACGAAGTACGCTGGCCTCGGTAGAATTCCAAGTATCCTGGACATTGAAATAATCCTTCGGCGGGACTCGATGACGTAGTATCCTTGAAATAGTGGCTCTGGAGCAGCTTTCCTCGACATTGAGAAACGCCCACAATGTGTAAAAAAGCAGGAAATAAAAAAATATGTATATCCTTTATTTAACCAGGTAAAAGAATAATAATCCTAGATGTGGTTTAGAACATGATATGGCATTTAATCACGGCAGAATTTAACTGTATCTGCCGGTAGAATTCTGAGCAGGCATTACTGTAGCTCCCCCCTTTTTTTTTTCAAGCTAAGGACCCAGAATCAGCGTTTCTCTAACAGGGCTGGAATAGAGGGATATGAGGGATGTCTAAAATGCATGATCTGTTTGGTATTTTGAGTAAAACACATCATATACATGTTTTTATATATTTGTATATATCTGAGACCCATAATATATGCTAAATAATAGGAGACCTTTAACACTTATACTCTCTCCCGTTCTCCAGGGTGACTCTGGAGGCCCTCTGACCTGCCGGGAGCCGTCCGGTCACTGGTTTGTTGCCGGAGTCACCAGCTGGGGACATGGCTGTGGACGAAGTGGTTTCCCGGGGGTTTACACTCGTACGACGTCGGTCCGGAAATGGATTTCTACATACCTGCCTTTCTGAAGAAGGCGAAGAAAAGGTGCTGAAAATATGACACGGATACAGAGGATTTTCCTTCAATATCTCCTTAAAAGATGTACTGTATGAAGGACTAAAGTCATGCTAATAAGCCACTCATTGATAGTTTCCTCGGTGTTGACCCACGTGACCTTCTGGTGCTGTTTGTAATACTGTGCGGTCATCTGAACTGGGACTATCATCGTCTTTAAGGAGAACACTGAGGCTTATGGACATTTTGCTTGCACATGCATTCAAAATATTTATTTCAGTTATTTATTATTTTTCCGATTGGTAAACTTGATTTTCATGGTGCATTTTTATTTTCATTTTGTGTGGGGTTCAGAATATAAGGTGGTTCATTTATGGGTTGTCTTTTTTTGTATATTCTCATAAAAAAGACAAAGATGTCAATGTAAGATTTGTGAGTGAAAAGTGGGTTTCTGGGGAAAATATATTTGGAATCGGATTCCAAATATATCGGATTTGAAGTTTGTTTGCTAAATTCCTAGTTTATTTGTTGATGTAGACACTTGGACTCAAGAGAGGATTTTGGTTGATGAGATTTATTGATTACTTCTTGAAAATGGTTCCTTTTTCTCACTATCACTGAAAGTAGCTGTAGTGTCTCTCTACATAAAGGAAGGAAGATTGTGGTTCCGAGACATCTGACAAGCCACACACACACACTCCTGAAACAAGCCCACCTCTGTGGAGGGGGCAGATAGAGTGACAACTAGAAAACAGGTCAGACAAAACAGTTTTGTTCTCCAGGCGTACTTTGATATCCGTCTGTTTGGAGGCTTGTGAATGTCAGGTTCACGGTTGTGAAAACACCAAGTTGCTCTACAAGTCTTCCTTTCTCATTTTAAGTAGGTCTTTTAAAGAAAAGGCATGTCAAGGAAAGCCTGGGGGGGGGGGTATTATTGTCGTGCTGCTTGTTCTCCTGGCACAATTGTTTAGTCTCTCCGGGCATAATAAACACAATGAAATAATGGGCACACTGAGCAGTTTTATGGAGCCATTGTGGCGATTGAAAGTCCTGTTTAAATCACAGTTATCATGTGCCCCAACTTGCACACACAGATTTCACCTCAATTGGAAGGCAGCAGGGTGTCAGTGTTTCCATTGAAGCCCCACTGTAGCTAAAACATGTTATGTTGCTCCAAAAAGCCATCGTGCTGCTGTTGACTGATTTTAAAGGGTGCCACAATCTAACTACAGCTGTAACAATTAATCGACTACTTTATTAGTCTATCCAAAGGAAAATAACCGCCCAAAACGTTGATAATTATTCCTTTTTAATGCAAAAGTGGCAACAATTCTGTTTTACTGCCCTTCAAATATGGAGATTTTATCTTTACTGTGTACCGTCATACTATAGTAAAGATATTTGGGTTTTAGACAAAACAAGACATTAAAAGGGATGGCACTTTTTCAATATTTTGACATTTTATAGACCAAGTGATTAATCTAGAAAAAAACAAAGTGTGAGTTTCAGCCCTGATTCCAAAACAGTACATTTATTTTTTTCATCTGCATACATTATTGGAACATATCCCAGCATGCACTGCTCGAGATATGGGGTACACTTGGACAGTGGTCAGACAATTACAGGTTTTACTTGGAGACACATTCACACTTATGTTCACTCCAACTGGAAATGTCCAATTCTCATCAATTACATAAAGTATGCAGGTGCATGTTTTAACAATGTACGTATTAACCAGAGGATGAATTACTCATAACATAAAAACACATTTAATCAAACTTTATAACAGCTCCTCGGAGCAAAAGGAAAATGTCCATAGAGACTTTGTTATGGCTCGAGTCCACCGGCTCTGCTGCCTCTCTGTGAGGTATCGTGATGATGGTGATGATGTTCTGCTGCAGCCACACACACACACACACACACCTGTGAGTGTGCACAGCTGCAGCCTCCAGTGGAAACACACCTGCTGCTCCTCACTGTGAGCAGCGCAGGGAGGAAGGGACGGGTGCAGAGAGAGGCGTTCACATGCGAGCTCTTTCCTTCTGTAGTCTGGAGTTGTATGTTCGGGACACCGTGTTCCAGGCGTCCATATACCGGTCCATACACATGGCAATGCATTTCTGTGAGGACAAGAGCAGACACATTACAAATCAATTGTGATCATTTTAAAAGAATGCAACAAATTCAGCCCAGTATTCCCTTGAAAAACAATTGGGTCTATAATGTTGTGCTGGGCAATGTATCAGTACAACATCATGTTACAAGACTTTGTGTCGTCTTATATTTTGATATTGTATTAATTTCAAGGTATGAATTTAACCCAGACTATTGTAGCTCTTCTGTTATTTACCTTTAGGCATTGTATCCACATTACTAATGATTATTTATCATTTGTCTAATTTCTGTAAGCACCAATAGTCAATCCTACAATATCGATGTTTAAGAATATGAATACAGGCATTCTATAAACAAAATATATTTGTTGTTCTCCATATTCCCTAGCCCTACTATAATGTATTAGTTGACCTATTACAAAATTACTTGTTTTGTCAAAAATCTGTGGATTCCTTTCACTATCATGAAAATTAAAGTAAAGCAGTGGATCCTGTTTTGAGATGATCAAAGCTGAGAGAAATTAATACTGGTTTCAGTCAATTCCTAGATATCTTTGTTACATCTTAAAGCATTACACACCTGCTCAGAGTTGTCCAGCGAGCTCCCAGGTTTCCCTATGCACTTCTTGAAGCATTTGTCTGTCATTCTCTGAAACACAAACACATTGTTTATTAGCATGCCTTACTAACAGCTGACAGTTCCCATCATCTGTTGGTGGGTAGTTGACCTTCTGTAGGTGAAATGGTCAAATCACTACACACATTTATACTGTTTTAGGTCAAAGTCGACTTATTGTTTGTTTAGGTTTTAGTCTATAGATTTTTTAATGACTTATATTCCAAGAAACTCATCCTCAAAGTTTTGCTTTTGGAAAAGTCTTACAAATGTTTCAATTGAACAAAGTCATCGATACATCTACAAAATGTGCTAGTTTACTAGGAAATGATTCAGTCGAGGTCAGCCCTAGGTTAAAGAGATTAAAGGTGAAATGTTTTTGCACATTGATGTTACATTATGTCAAAGCAATTCCATTCATACTGCTGTTTCTATCAAGCTTACTTCATTAACATATCAATTACAATATCTTCATGAAACGTTGTGACTTGACTCATAATGGTGTATAACACCCCAAATAAATGTATCTATTATTATTATTATTATTATTATCTACATAACGTAACTCTACTAAGTGAAGTGTTAGCTTGTTAGCTTAGCATGTTCTCCATTGGTTTACCTGCAGCAGCTCCTGAGCGTTAGCCACCGCGATCTGCACTTTAACTTGCTCCATGATGGTCCCGGTGTCCACTTTCCCCCCAGCCCCACCGGCAGAGAAGTCTGAACTGTAGCCTTCCATTTCTACCGTAAACGTTACCGAAAACTGTAGCTTTCTCGGTGTTTTTAGACACACGTGCGTACAGTTACCTTTAGGTTTGGCTAACGTTAGTTTTCAGTGCCCTTGACAGCGGCGGAAGTCTGCATACATCACTTCCGCATAAGGGGATTCCGATTTTGGGAAGTGTAGTTTTTTGACAGCTGGTACGATTGAGGCACAGTTCTTATACATCCATGTTGCCCACGCGGTGGTGCTATACTCTAATAATGGATAACACTATTCAACTTTAATGAAAGGAATTAGAGTCCTTTGTGTGCTACCAATACATGATATAGATTTTCTTTCCATATCATTCCATATTTTAATGCACAAATTGTTTGATTATGAGATGTAATACAAAATCAAGCATCTGTTAGCATCTGTTAGTTATCTGATTGTTCATTACTGATTGCAACGCTATGCATATTATGTCACTGCATTGTAAATCAAAAATGTGATGTCCAGCAAGTTAGGGGCCATTTTGGGACTGTCTGCATTGACTCTTACGAAAATAATTGTATTGTAATTATTAACAAACCAATATATGCCAAAAGAAAGTGATTTGTTGTCATGTCCACAACAATTACAGAGAAGCAATCTGCAATGAATTCTCTGCAAAGACCCCAGGCTCTCTTCAACCATGTTGTAAAAAATAAAAATAAATAAATGAGTGAACTTGAATGTATATGTTTATGCTGTGCAGTGATAAATAAATGCAAAATGTGTAAATTTGTTGTATATATAGAGGTAGTAAAACACTCATATATGTATGACAAATTATTTGTTTATGTTTGTCTTGGCTGTTGTCTTGTGGGTGGATTTGTATTTACTTGTGAAACAACAACCGTTTATCTCCTACTGATCTTCCACAGCAGGCTTTATTGGAAAATAAATGCAATATAAACATGAATAACATGCATCCAAACTGTATAATGTCAACCTTTTTATTCCCCTTTATCCATTGCATAATTGCAGAGATTCATTCATCATACCAATGTAGTTACTGTGACAACTTGTGTCAGCAAATAGATGAAGCATTTACCCCAAACTATGTGGAAAGCAGGAGGCTGTAAGACGTAAATAGAAGGTCATAAGAAGCCCTGCATTGTTTGGCGTTGAGTCGGGGGACCGAGGATGAACCCTTCTCCTTATGTTTCAGACGGGATGACCTCACTGAGAGGACCACCTGCCTCGAGTGAACAAATCTGTGGTACAGTGAGTCTGCAGGCAAACAATGGAGCGACGGTTACTGTCACTGTCAACCGACACTGTGTGACTGGCTTGATGCAACGCTGGGGGCATTGAGGAATAATTACGGGGGTCTGATTAGTGGCGTGCCCGCCTCGCAGTAATTAATGACCGGTTACACACCCAAGCCCATGCAAAAACACACATACATTAATCCTTTGGGCTCAAAGCCATGAACTGAATGGGGGGTTGTGTTAAAGTGCAGCAAAATGAATTAACCCTAGATTACAATCATGAGTTCATTATTCTAATCTTCTTAAATTCTTAATCTCTTTAAGGCACACTTGTGTGTATGAAAGCATTTTGAACCCAGTCTGCAACAAGGGAGGCTTCAACGAGCAGCGGCAACAATGAGAATGTGAAGCACCATGAGTGTGTTTATGGTGTCAAACTTTGAGGTTACACAACGCTGCAGGTGATTACTCCAAGGCCTTCAAGTGTAAAAAAAGATGTGAGTGGCTTCAGATATAAGTAGGAGTCAAGTTTGAATCCCTAGGGAGGAACAAGAGACTCAACAGAAGCCATATAGGGACATGTGTTTATGGTTTACACCCTCATATTTTTTTCTTTAGGTATCCTATGACAACTAGTTTTTTTCTGGAGATCACAAGTTATTTATGGCATTAACTTGAAATAACAAATGTTGTTTAGCCGAGATAACAGGACAATGGTCATGGCTCAAACACATTTTTCATCCGGCGGTGACAGCGAGTTAAAACTTGGTATTACGAAAAAACTATTTTGTAGACTGTGGTTTTACTTTTACTTAAAGGGGCCCTATTATGCTTTTATGGGTTTCTCTTTCCTGTAGTGTGTTAGACAGTATAGGTTTTAGTGCATGTAAATGGTCTGCAAAGGCTAAAATCCCTTATCCCCCCTGCCCTGAAACGCCTCCATTAGACTCCTTTGTTTACTTCCTGAACATAGTTACATCTCTATGGAACACTGGCACTTCTATTGGCTAATGCTCCAACACATTGTACGTGATAGGCTAAGGGGCGGAACATTTCTAGGTGGTTGACCAATCACAACAGAGCTGGCAAGCTAACCAATCAGACTGGGCTGAGTTTCCATATGGTGTTTTTTTATGCAGTCAATGTTTTTCCTGAAAAGAACAGGTGCAGCATTTAACATAAATTCTTTCCCATTTAAGAGCCTCAAGAAGGCAAAGAGCCAGACTGCACCTGGGCCGTCCCTCCCTACAGGCCGATCATGCAGGCTGCATGGGGCCTCACATTGCGCAGGGGGCCTCGCGCAGGGGGCCTCGCGCAGGGGGCCTCGGCTTATGAGCTTGGCTTGTGCGCAGTTCTAAGCGCAGTTCTCCCCGTACCGATTATGATTATTATTATGATTATTAGTAGAAGTAGTTTATTTGCATTCATTATATTTTAATCTTTTTGAGGCTAGTATTTGGCAGGAAATGCAGACGTATTCACCTGTAAACGCATACTGAACGACATACATGCACATTTACCATTTACCTCACTGTATAAAAAAGTAACTGTGTTGATAATAATAATAAACAGGAATTATATTTGCAAAGTACTTTGTTTTCAACATTTATTTTTTCACTCCTGTCGGTTGGGGGGAGGGGGGGCCTCATCTCACAATGTGCTTGGGGCCCCAAGTTGGCCAGGGACGGCCCTGGACTGCACAATAACATGCCTCTGGACCTGGCACACCTAAATGGAGTCAAGCCATTATTAGTGGTTGTTAATTACACATGAAGGCATGTTGGGACATACCCCAGAAAAGACTGGCACAGAAACAATGCTTAATTCTTGGCTCTGTATTTCTTGGAATTCTTATAACCTAATTTATTTACTTTGAGTATAAGTTGATACTTGTTTTGTTCTGTTACAGAAATTAATAGAAAATGCAAGTGAAGTAAAAAGTACTCTGAGCCTTTAGTCAAGTAAAAGAAGAATTACTATGGTCTTAAAATACTTCAATACAAGTAAAAGTAGAAGTACAGGAGTATTATCAGAAACATGTACTTTAAGTTTAAAAAACAAAAGACTTGGCCCTTTTCATAGTATTAGGGTATTTTAGAATATTATAATAATTGTTCTAATTACATTTCATTCCATGTTAAAGTTGAAGTTTATCACTGTAGAGACCATTATCTTTTAAATAGTAAAATATCAAACATTTATTTTTAAATACTGGGTAGATAACAGCAGTGCAACATATCGTATGAACATAACATGAGTATTTAAATGTAAAAAGGAGATGGAGGGTAAAATAAATATAGTGGAGTAAAAAGTACAATATTTGCCTCTAAAATATAATGCATTGGAAGTAGCAAAACAATTGACACTTTCAACTACCTCAATAGTTGTACTTAAAATACAGTTATGAATAAATATACTTAATTTCATTAGTCAATCTTGGGATTTGGGAAACACTGATCAACAGTTTTCAGCATCTAAAGTTAAAGTAAGGGAATGTGAAATGCTATACTTTAAACCAATTTGTACTTACAGTATATACTTAATATTGACCACGTTTCATAACTTCCACCTGTATGTGCAGGCTGTCTCCGGCTGGCCCCATTCTCGTCCCGATAACTCACGAGTACTTAAATCCTTCAGAAAATGTGAGGAATTCAGCCGGAGAAACGATCTCATGGTCCTCAGAGGGACTTTACCCTGCCATCATATGATCATTAAGACTGCTGGTTATGTGGAGCTGGCAACATATGCCAAGCTGTGCCTGGTGCTAAATCAATGTGTCTTAGGTATTAATATCTGGGTAAACACAGTGTTGGTGGTCGTGATGTTAATCTAATTTTCTAGCACAGGGGAGGTCTCTTATTCATCAAAAACTTGTAGATGGTGGATATTTTGTTGGCTGATTCCAGTCTTTTTAGATTCAGCATGTTTCAATTTGACTACTTTTAGGCCAACAGGATAAGGCTTCAGTATTTCTCCCCCAAAATGTAATTTATGGCCACATGGCAGTGTTGTAGTCAAGTCACCAATTCACGAGTCCAAGTCACTCTCGAGTCACCAATCTTCGAGTCCGAGTCCAAGTCCGAGTCACCCAAGGAGTGTCCGAGTCGAGTCCGAGTCATCATTACCTGTGTTCGAGTCCAAGTCCAAGTCTGAGTCACCCAAGGAGTGTCCGAGTCGAGTCCGAGTCATCATTACCTGTGTTCGAGTCCACGTCAAGTCCGAGTCACAAGTCTTCATGTATTAATCTTCGTGGATATATGTGTTGAAATGTAGCTGCTCCTCTACATTGCTTTTATCCTGTCATGTTATACTAATCTGTCTATTGAACTACTGTGAAGCGAGTTTGGCTACAATTCTTGTAATAGGTGCTATACAAATATAAAGCTTATTACTAATATTAATATTATTATTGTAAATTACCTTTAATATGTCCAACTATATTTAAAATGAGTTAACTTTTAGAGAAGTGATTATATTTGTATGCCAATATTTTCCTATGGTAAAGTTTTCGTTTTGCACTCCTCATCGTGGGGGGAAAAATTCACGAGTCCGAGTCCGAGTCGAAGTCGGAGCGTCAATGTACAAGTCAAGCCTGAGTCATCGTGGGGGGGGGGAAATTCACGAGTCCGAGTCCAAGCCATCGTGCGCGAGAATTCACGAGTCCAAGTCCGAGTCGCGTCAATCAGTGCGCGAGTCGGAGTCGAGTCACGAGTCCCGAAAATCGGCACTCGAGTCCGAGTCCAGGACTCGAGTGCTCCATCTCTGCCACATGGAGGTGGTATTTAGACCTTCATGTCTCGCAATAACATTTCATTACAGACAGCATTACTCAACTATACAATACATTTTTAAAAAGCAGTTATTTTAAAATAATTCATACACATTTTTCTGGATTTCTGGCAAAAACAATGCTCCACATTTCAATATAAAAATAAGGATACAAAAATATTAGGCACAAATGTTAATATTACTTTTTGCAACTGCTGCTTAATATTTCATAATAATAATAACAATAATAATGAAATATATACATTTATTAAATATTTTCAATCACTTTTTTATTCTAATAAAGAGCAAGTGTCACCAAACCTAATTTCCTCTCAAGATAACACAAATATTCAGAATCAAATCTGGTTGTATTCATTGATATCTCTCATTGCACTATATGCTGGTATTTTATTATTTTATAATCCTGTCTTTTTTATCACCTTGCATTACTTTTAGAAAATAAAATAGTTTTCTATCTGAGTTTTACATTTTTGTTTCACTTTTATGTATGCACCACAGCACCAAATCAAATTCCTCGTAGCCTATGTGTCAACCTAACAGGTCATAAACCTGTTTCTGATTCTGATTCTGATAAAACATTTACAAAAATAAACGTTCCTTTCCTTTAATACTCGAGGCAAACTTTCCTCTAAGTGAAAGTTTTAAACATCAGGCAGGTGAAGCACACAGAGACTGGTGTTCTTCATTGTTCAGTGCAATGCTATTCTCCAATGATGCAGTGCATTGACCCTGAAGTTGGACAGAGAATAAAGGGCTTAAGAATGATATCCCATTGGACGGTGAGGGAAAATGGGCGGGGCCAGTGGGAGAGGGGGAGGAGCCTCTGAGGACACCACGGCTGCTCGGCTCTTTCTCTCTGTTCGCTCTTTGCTCTCCTGCAGGCTGCGTGGCTTCCCGACAACAAAACCTCAACTTTAAACAGTGTTTTCTTCTTTTTTAATGCATATTTAATCCCGAAACTCGCACCGCAGACACATGGATCAACCATTCCCCGACACTTCAGGAAATTATGCAGTTTTAAACCCGGAATGTGTCTAAATTAACTTCAAACAACTCAACAACGGAACAAGTCAACATACCCGGATCAACCGTGCTCAGTGCGCCTATCAAGGTAAGAGAGATTTAAAAATAAGTATCGGTTCCTGCTTATTTCCAGAGGTGGAAGTGCTTAGATATTGTACTTGAATTAGTAGTAGATAAGTATTCCAGATTGTAGAAATACTTTGTTACAGTAAAAGTCCTGCAATCAAGATGTTACTTAAGTAAAAATACAAAAATATTGGCATCAAAATATACTTAAAGTATCAAAAGTAATCATTCTGCAGATTGGTCCATTTCAGAATAATAATATGATATGTTTTATAATGATTGATCATTAAAGTGTTCTCAAAGCTGGTAAAGGTGCAGCTAGTTTGAATGGCTTTGTATACTGCAGGGTAGCTTGTGGATTTACTCCAGGTGGAAGTCTGATTTAACACTTGGTTATATTTCACATAATTCATCCAGATCTGTAAAGTTACTAAATGTAGTGGAGTACAGGTACACCATTTAACTCTGAATTGTGGTGGAGTAGAAGTACAAGGCAGCATAACCTTTAAATACTATTAAACTTGTACTTCAGTTGAGTAAATGTACTTGGTTACTTCCCTCCTCTGCTTGTTCTACATTTATCAAACTTCCGAAATGTGAGCCTGTGTGAGTCTCGGTGGTGAAGCGGCTCCTGTGATGTTAGCAGGCTGACTGGAGGAGAGCATGCGGACCGCAGTCTCACATTTACTGCACACATACGATTGGATTTCACGCTGAGTCCCTCCACGGAAGTCCTCAGTCTCCCTTTCAGTGGGATTGAATAGCCGACTTAAATTTATCTGGTGGGAAACAATGGAGGCTTTAAAGCGGAAGATATTTATTTGGTCGGCTTCAAGTTGTGGACAGTCATTATTAGCCCATACTGTGCATTATACACTGGTTACATGGTTATATTGGTGTACAATCCTATTTATATTTAGCATGAAGATAACTAGCGATGCAATCATAATGGCCATCAATCGCAAAGTAGATTTTCATGCAAACATTTATCAAATGGATATAATCTGCTTTTTTCTGTCAAAAAGTACCTTACAATATCGAAAGCAATATTGATGATATTTGATTTTCTCAATATCACTTAGCCCTCGTTTCAGCCCTAAAGCCAACTATATTGACTATCATTGAATTTAATTCCTTTATTGTCACTGTCACAGGTACAACAACATTTAAAAATAATTGTAGTAGCAATTTTGATAATACAGATGACTTGATATCAAAGATGACATTGTATACATATTGTGTGAAAGAACTTCAAGTTAACCCCACAATATTGCCATAATATAGTTATCAAGGTGTTTAGAAATGTTATGAAATGTAATTTTCTCTATATCGTCTAGCTGTAATTTCAGCCTTAACGTTAAATACATATTAAATTCGGCATCACCATCCTCCCACTTAATGAAGAACGGCTGCAGGCCTGTCTAACCACTGCGCTTGAGATCAAAAGATTGATTGGTCTTTTTCATCTGTTGCACTGTGGTTACATAATTCCATCCCGAAGGAGCTGGACTGGAGGTGTCACATCGTATATGAGCCTGAACGCTTTGACACCTTCTTGTATTCGAGCCAGCCGAGGAACAGCTCAGGCTGCAGGGAGCGATCGACTCTCTGCGCCACGACGTGACTCACTGCCATGAAATGTTTATAGGGGTGGAACGATGTGATGTAGGGCAACACACCCAAGGTGTTGTTACTTTGCCTGGCACTTCACACCACAGAAGGAAAGTAGAATTAATTAAAAAGCCAGTTGAGAATTCAGATTTAGAAGTGGACACATGCAGGTTTCTGAAGTTAGCCTTGTAGTTGATTTGGAAGTGTACACATGCAGGTTGTGTGTGGGAGTGCTCCTTATCTGATCTCCTTCATGTCTGAAGGCTGAAGTTTATATCCGTTGTTACCTAAGCCTACTGATATGAGCGCTTTTATTCCTGAACAACCCATTCATCAGCTGTGTATAATCATAAGAAGGGAGGAGTGTTTATAGCGGCGTTCACATCAAAAGGACCTGATAAGATCTCTTCCTCCTGTCCATTTGTCATAAACGGTCGGTTCAAACAAATACAAAGGTGCGGCTGTTTTTTAAAACATGTTCTTATATAAGTTGTCACCCTCTGTTCCTCCTCTAGGTCCAAGTCAAGATGTCTGTCAGTAATCATGAAAACAGGAAGTCTCGCTCTAGTTCCGGCTCCATGAATATCCACCTCTTCCACAAAACATCCCACGCCGACAGCCTGTTGACTCAGCTCAACCTGCTGCGCAAACGAAAAGTCTTCACAGATGTTATCCTGAAAGCGGGGAACAAATCCTTCCCCTGCCACCGGGCCGTCCTCGCCTCCTGCAGCCGATACTTCGAGGCGATGTTCAGCGGCGGGCTCAGAGAAAGTCGCGACGCCGAGGTCGACTTCCACGACTCCCTCCACCCAGAGGTGCTGGAGCTCCTGCTCGACTACGCCTACTCCGCTCGGATCCTCATCAACGAGGAAAACGCCGAGTCGCTCCTGGAGGCCGGCGACATGCTTCAGTTTCACGACATCCGGGACGCAGCGTCTGAGTTTCTGGAGAAGAACCTGGATCAGTCGAACTGTTTTGGGATGATGCTGCTGTCGGACGCGCACCAATGCATGAGACTTTACGAGCTGTCGTGGAGGATGTGCCTGGCGAACTTTGCTACACTTTTCAAAACAGAGGACTTTCTCAGCCTGCCCAGAGACAAAGTCCAGGAGCTGATCTTGAGCGAGGAGCTGGAGGTGGAGGATGAGTGCCTGGTGTACGAGGCTGTAATCGACTGGGTCAAAGCGGACATGGAGCACCGGCACAGTGAACTTCCCGAACTGCTGCGATGCGTCCGCTTGGCTTTGCTCCCCGAGACGTATCTGCTGAAGAACGTGGCCTCGGAGGAGCTGGTGATGTGCCATAAAGTGGGTCGGGAGATCGTGGAAGATGCTGTACGGTGCAAAATGAGGATCCTGCAGAACGATGGTATTGTGACGGGGTTCTGCGCCCGGCCGAGGAAGGTGAGCCAGGCCCTGCTGCTGCTGGGAGGACAGACGTTCATGTGTGATAAAGTCTACATGATCGACAACAAGACGAAGGAGATCACGCCCAAAACAGACATCCCCAGCCCCAGGAAGGAATGTAGCGCCTGTGCTATTGGATGCAAGGTAAATATATGATCTATACTTCAATTGTGTGCATTTGAATATCATTTTTTATAGAATGTGGCTCTGAATATGTCTGAAATGTTTCCTGTGATAGGTCATTTCATATCGGTTCTATATGAAATAATAGCCTGTTTTGTATACAGACTTGACAAATGACCAATTTAATGAAAGAATGTAGTGTAAGATTTGATTAATTGTGTTTGACTGATCCCAATTTAGGATATTGTTTGAGCTTAAAATAAAATAAAAATGAACATAATTGCAAATTTGAATGAATATTTGCCAGTTTGAATGACTAGAATACATCTTATTTCCTCTCTCTTTGTCTCAGGTTTATGTTACTGGAGGACGTGGCTCTGAGAACGGGGCCTCCAAAGACGTCTGGGTCTACGACACGTTACACGACGAGTGGTCCAAAGCCTCCCCGATGCTTGTAGCCAGATTCGGACACGGGTCGGCGGAGCTCGACCACATGCTGTACGTCGTCGGAGGACACACTTCTCTCGCAGGATCTTTCCCCGCATCTCCATCTGTGTCTCTGAAGCAGGTGGAGCAGTACGACCCTCAAACCAACAAATGGACGCTGGTGGCTCCGCTCCGAGAAGGGGTGAGCAACGCTGCCGTCGTTGGTGCCAAAAACAAACTCTTTGCTTTTGGGGGAACCAGTGTGAACAGGGACAAATACCCCAAGGTCCAGTGCTTCGACCCCTGCGAGAACCGATGGACCGTGCCCGCTTCCTGCCCACAATTGTGGCGCTACACTGCTGCAGCCGTGGTGGGAAATCACGTGGTGGTGATCGGAGGCGACACTGAGTTCTCCGCCAGTTCTGCTTACCGGTTCAACAGCGAGACGTTCCAGTGGACGAAGTTCGGAGACGTCACGGCCAAACGGATCAGCTGCCATGCGGTGGCGTCAGGAAACAGACTATATGTGGTCGGGGGGTACTTTGGGGCTCAGAGGTGTAAAACTCTAGACTGTTACGACCCCTCTTCAGACTCTTGGGACAGTGTGACCAGCGTGCCCTACTCCCTCATTCCCACCGCCTTCGTCAGCACGTGGAAGTACCTTCCAGCATAGAGACAAACTGACTCTGAAGTTTCTACAGACTTGGTGAGTAGTTGTTTCTTCCTTAAACTGACACAAAATGTCAATTATATGTGCTTTTGATATTAGTGTGGGAAAAATGTCATTTTTTTTTTATCAACATCATGATTTGAGACTACATACCATGTTAGATTTTGGATATCATAATTAGATGAGTTGAGATTCAACTTTATTGTCATTGAACTGGGACAACAAAATACATTTAGCATCTAACCAGAACAGCAATAGAAGCAGTAAAGTGCGGTGTAATGAATTAGTATAAAATAAAAATATAAATAGGGTAGGGAAAAGCAAAAGTGTATATAGAGTATTTATTATAATAAAATCTGAATCAGAATACCTTTATTAGTCCCACAGGGGGGAACTTTGCATCGTTACAGCAGGAAAGAGCCACAGACAGCTTAATGTTACATATGTTCAAAAAAAGTACTAAGTTATGATATAATGAAAAAAAAGAAAATACTTTTCAAAATACAAATCCTGTAACAGTTCTTAGGATTTAGCAGCCAGGTATATATTACACAGTTATTAATGACATATGTATATAATGCACATATTGCACATAGTTTGATGGTATTTAACAGCAGCAAGTTACACAATTTACAAAATGCAAAAAACACACCTTGTAACGGTTCTAAGGATTTTGCAGTCAGGTATAAATTACCTGTATAATAAAAGTGGTGGTTCTTCCTGGTTGTAAAGGCTGCATTACAGAGTATTGATGCAATTTTCTGAATGTACTATACTTGTAGCTGTTCTATTAATTGCCTTAACCCACTTAGACCTGATATATTCATTACTATTATCCATCAACATTTTCATGGTTTAAGCATTTTGCCAACGGTTCAATGGCTAACCTTCAATATCAATATCAAGGTATTTGGTCAAAAATATTCTTCATATCATTCAGCTCTAATTTGTACAGTCGGATGCAATAGGAACTCCTTTTATGGTAACTACTATCTTCAGATAACTTTCACACCATGGTTACTTCACTAGAGGAGTCGGTTTGAACCGGACGAGGCCGGTTTAAAACCCCTGACTGTTTTCAGCGTTGCTCGTGGTTACAGTTACACATTACCTCGCTGCTGCTGCGTCTGCCGGGTGTTGGATAAACACGGTGCAGTGCTGCTTTAGAGAGCAGGAGGAATGTCAGCGGTGCTGGTAATTACAGAGCGAGACCTACAACACAGAGCTCTGTCACTGAGGGGAGCAAGGTGGAGATTCAGGGGTCAGATCTGGGCTTAAAGTGGGCCGGGTCGGGGTTAAAGAGGCAAGGCCGGAGCCCAGGTGTCAACTGAATGCCTTTTTTAGACGAGTCAGAACCTCAAAACAGTCGTAAGTTGTAAAAGGTGTTGTGACACAGTGTGTTTAACATATGGAGGGTTTGGAGTCAAAGTAGGCTTAGGGTTAGCTTTAGATAAGAGTAGAAAGAAACACTTTTATCAGCTTATAACCTTGGGGTCTGAAAAGTGAAGCCAATGCCCACAACTTTAATTCTTTGTATTTTCAAGTAGGGAAAATAAATCAGATTGTGTAGAGGTCTGAGAAAATGATCCTATTATTAGCCTTTGTTTGTCTTAGACACAATCGGCTACTTTGGAGTTTTAAAAGTTAAGTGAAACTGCTTTAAAGTAGTAGTAGGGGAAGAGAAGTCTGATTGTATAGAAACTATGAATAAAGTAACTGTATATCTTACTTGAGAAACCTTTTTTCTGATTATTTTCTGGTCTAAATCACATGTTTCAAGTCTTCTTCAATACAGTAGGATGTTAGTTTTGTACATTATAGTCCCTTTAAGTGTAACATTTACAAAAAAGCAATGGTAGGTTTAGGTCTGAGCAATGTAATGATTGACAGGTAGCTACTGCAGTGTGGTCCAGTCAGGATGAGCCCCATGTTTCTTAACTTCAACCCTTTTGAGGTGTATTTTTTTTAGTTAATGAAAGTATTATTTATTTTTTGTGTCAATTTGCCAAGTCTTTCTTTCTGGTTCCAAAAACCAAGATGGCACTGGTCCAAATGCAAAACCGTAGCTACAAAACCGTCCTTCTTATAATAAGTATATGCTGATACACTACTTACTTCAACATGATTAACCCCCCCCCCCCCCCCCCACAAAAGTCAACTGATTTAATACAAGTAATAAATAATGCATTACCCACACAACACCTTTCTCAAAGTGCTTTGAAGGACAAAAACAAAGTACCATATGTGCTGACAGTCACAATCTGTTCTGCTCAAAGTAAAGTCTGAAAAGTTTCTTATAAGCAGGGCAGGTTGTTGGGATTCAAAAGGAAGGACACATCTCAAGGGTATGAAAATATGATAAGAGTTAGATGTAACATATAGGTGAATAATTGCTCGGCCTGAAGCAATGACAGCTGGCCGTTTTCACAGATTCATGTGTGATGAGAGATGATACATCTTTCCTGAGGTGTTTTCAGGGTTTTTTTGCACAAGGAGAGGATTGAGGGGGTAGTAGATGAAACAAGGAGAGGATTGAGGGGATAGTAGATGACACAAGGAGAGGATTGAGGGGGTGGTGGATGAAACAAGGAGAGGATTGAGGGGGTAGTAGATGAAACAAGGTGAGGATTGAGGGGATGGTAGATGACACAAGTTGAGGACTGAGGGAGTAGTAGATGAAACAAGGAGAGGATTGAGGGGATAGTAGATGAAACAAGGTGAGGATTGAGGGGGTGGTGGATGACACAAGGTGAGGACTGAGGGGATAGTAGATTAAACAAGGAGAGGATTGAGGGGATGGTAGATGACACAAGGAGAGGATTGAGGGGGTGGTGGATGAAACAAGGAGAGGATTGAGGGGTTAGTAGATGACACAAGGAGAGGATTGAGGGGGTGGTGGATGACACAAGGTGAGGACTGAGGGGATAGTAGATGAAACAAGGAGAGGATTGAGGGGGTAGTAGATGAAACAAGGTGAGGATTGAGGGGATGGTAGATGACACAAGTTGAGGACTGAGGGAGTAGTAGATGAAACAAGGAGAGGATTGAGGGGATAGTAGATGAAACAAGGAGAGGATTGAGGGAGTAGTAGATGAAACAAGGAGATGATTGAGGGAGTAGTAGATGAAACAAGGAGAGGATTGAGGTGATAGTAGATGAAACAAGGAGAGGATTGAGGGGATGGTAGATGACACAAGTTGAGGATTGAGGGGATAGTAGATGAAACAAGGAGAAGATTGAGGGAGTAGTAGATGAAACAAGGAGATGATTGAGGGAGTAGTAGATGAAACAAGGAGAGGATTGAGGGAGTAGTAGATGAAACAAGGAGAGGATTGAGGGAATAGTAGATGAAACAAGGAGAGGATTGAGGGGGTAGTAGATGACACAAGTTGAGGACTGAGGGAGTAGTAGATGAAACAAGGAGAGGATTGAGGGAGTAGTAGATGAAACAAGGAGAGGATTGAGGGAGTAGTAGATGAAACAAGGAGAGGATTGAGGGGATGGTAGATGACACAAGTTGAGGACTGAGGGAGTAGTAGATGAAACAAGGAGAGGATTGAGGGAGTAGTAGATGAAACAAGGAGAGGATTGAGGGGGTAGTAGATGAAACAAGGTGAGGATTGAGGGGATGGTAGATGACACAAGTTGAGGACTGAGGGAGTAGTAGATGAAACAAGGAGAGGATTGAGGGGATAGTAGATGAAACAAGGAGAAGATTGAGGGAGTAGTAGATGAAACAAGGAGATGATTGAGGGAGTAGTAGATGAAACAAGGAGAGGATTGAGGTGATAGTAGATGAAACAAGGAGAGGATTGAGGGGATGGTAGATGACACAAGTTGAGGACTGAGGGAGTAGTAGATGAAACAAGGAGAGGATTGAGGGAGTAGTAGATGAAACAAGGAGAGGATTGAGGGGGTAGTAGATGAAACAAGGAGAGGATTGAGGGGGTAGTAGATGAAACAAGGAGAGGATTGAGGGGGTAGATGAAACAAGGAGAGGATTGAGGGGGTAGTAGATGAAACAAGGAGAGGATTGAGGGGGTAGTAGATGAAACAAGGAGAGGATGTACAGTGATGTTTTGACTGGGTTTTGAATATGCTCGATGATGGAATAGCTAGTTTTCAGTTTCGAGACATGAGGCCTGTCCTGATCATATTTTAAAACGTAATGAAAACAGTTCATTGCTGCAGTGGGCCTTGTTTTTAAAAATCCCAGACTTTGGAGCCTCTTTTTACTGTTGGTTTAGTGGTTTCATCATTTATTGGAGGTTTTACTACGCTGACTTCATTCGCTGAGCCGTGTCGGTCCTAATTATTATTTTGTTATATAAATGCAATGGTGTAATGCAGCCTATTGCAATAAAGCTTCAAGCTGTCATCAAGTATAACACACGCCCGCTCTTAAAGCATTACCTCAACTATGAGACGTTTACATTTCTTTGTTGTTTTTGTTGCTGAGAGTTGGCTAAATAGTTTAATACCACTTTAATACAGCTAGGCTACAGCTAGTTAGCTTAGCACAAAGACTGGAAACAGCTAGCCTGGCTCTGTTCGAAGGAAACAAAATGTTTAAGTCTTCATGTTATGCTAATCTACGCTAAGCTAGATTAACCAGCTTCAGGCTCCAGTTTCATATTTACTTTCACTTTATCATCAAACACTAGCCACATCTTTGTTTCAACAACTTTGGCCAGAGATCAGAGTGAATGCAACTCATATATAATATACGTGTACTAATATATAATACACGATATATGACTGGTACAAAAAGTCTTTCTAGCTTTGCCAAGAAAGAAATTCCATCATAGTCCCTGAAGAAGATTTCTGAAGTAAACAGCGTGCATAGTGTTGCAGATATCTCATGTGACTGCAGTTTCAATAACTCATTCTCGTCTGTCGTGCAAAACAACTTCTTTCTCTGTCCGGGAAACAAAAAGTCTGAACATGCAGATCTTCGAGCCGAAGCAAGTGAGAGGCAGAGAGCTGATGTGTGTCTGCAGAAAACAGCTGGATGTGATACAGCTTAGCATTTTGAG